TTGGTCATGGTGCGAGGGTGTTCGAATGAGTGTTTCTCAGACTCGGGCCATTGTAAATGAAGATGAGTTAGACGAGGAAAGAGAGGGGCTTTCTCGGAAGAACTTTTGAGGACGAAGGAAAGTAAGGTTTCATCTAAAAAGTCGAAGTAGAATCTGGTCAAATTATGTCTGCATCTGCGGAATGATTGTAGGACAATCTTTGGAGGAGCAATAACACTATAATTTACAATTAGTATGGAAGAATATTAAAACGGAAGTTGAACTGACAGGTGTGCATCATCTTCGAGGACTAGCTCACGCATGGAGGCGGGGAAGCCAACGTTGTAATTTTGAATCAATGGTGAACTTTCATCAATCTCATTGGGTACAAGGCTCGCCCAGAATCTCGCCAGAGTATATTGTCCTTGATTGTGAAAGGATCTATTATCACGAGTCACAGCAATGTGAAGGACTTCGAGGTTGCTTTCTCGGACCTCAGCACCTAAAGCTGCCGATTCCAAAGGTGATAGCAAACCAATCTCGAATGTTGTGAGTCTTGATAAACCTCGGAAATTCAATACCATGTTATCAACCAAGTCTTGTTTCTCGTTATGGGAAAGTTGGCTAATAGCTTCTGCTGAATGGTTTCTGTCTAGCAGAGCTTGGGAGTCAACTGTCGTTGTTCGCCATATCCTTAGTTCTCGAAGCGATGGCAATGCGAGTAGTAAATCCCAGGTTTTTCTATTAACTTCACCATCGATTCGAAGGGTATAAAGGTTCCGCATCATAGGAAATAAGTCCCCATAAACCTCTCGAATCGTCCAATCTTCTCTCGAACCTCCTTGGGGTAAATCTCTCGAGTCGACATCCCATACTGTTCTGAGAGCAAAGTTTTTGACCTTCGGTAGCCTCGGAACGATTGAAGGCACTCGGTGCTCTCCTCGTCCCATTCTCATCCACGGAGGCCGTAAATGTGTGTCATTTCGTCTTTCGTGGCTTTCATGGCGTAGGATTCGAAGAGGGTCTTGTCCATCTGAGGGGTAGGATGGATCGTAAAATTGGGCGGTATTGATGGTGATATTTGACCAAAGGATCCGTTCGGCAATATCATTGTATGCCCAGCTAACTAGCGCCCAGTTCTTCAATGATTTCAAGTCGTCAGTCCGAGATATAATGTGGTTGATGATTTCCGTGGGGAGATATGGGATTGTTATCGGTTTCGCGGATCGTGGTGTGACGTGGTTAGCGATACCTGCGATAACGTTAATGAGATGGCAGGGTGCAGAGCGTAGAGGGGAGAACACATACTTGGCCAGGACACCATATTGTTGCCTGTTGAGATATTGGAATGTTCATCATGGAGGATAGAACCATCGGCTGGCAAGCAGTTTTTGAGAGCCGCCGACTGCCAATTACCATCTCTCTTACTTTTGGACAGGGTGATCGGCTCACAAGTAGCTTTACCATAGGTGGAATGCCGTTTGAACTTCTCCATTGTGACTAAATATTACTGTGTATGTTGTATATGAGACAGATTAAAGATCGATAGATATCAAGTATCTAAGTTAATATTGATTTGGGGTTGGGTTTGCAGATGCAGATGCAGATGCAGTTGCAGAAGTCGAATGCTTAAAAAAGGTGAGGAGGTGAGATGGCTATATCTATGATCGGTAGTGGAAGTATTGCAGGTGTACCTGGTACGTTCCGGTGCATTAGATGGCTATTTCAGTCTTAACTCGATGATAGCCGAGCCCAGAGATATCCACCACCTGTTTTTGAGGGGGCGCGGAAGAGTTTCAAGGGTTATGACATTTCTCAACCTTGCAATGAATGAATCCCTCGTAGTACTACTATTGTACCATGGACGAGATGTCCCAATCGTTGTACCGCCCGCCACATTGGATGATGAGAGAGGAAGTACACTTGACTTGAAAGGCTTCATTTTGCCCTTCTTGAGTGGATAGATTTTACAGTATTACTCATGTGTATGACCGTATCTGGACCCAAAGGATCGACTGCACTACCTAGGTAGGTAGGTAGGTAGATATCATACTCACTCAGCTCAGGTATTGAGAATCTTCCTATTTGTCGTTGAATGATCAAAATATCAACCTCATATGGTGGGATGAATCCATCATACAATACATGTCATGATACCTGCGTATCTAGGACTCGCTCTGAGATGAAGATCAACTTATAACAGTTGGCAAGCATGGGCAAGTTGAGTATATTAGGCACGAATACATCTATCGCCCAGTCATCATTTCACACAAATCCTTCAGCAGCTACAAGAACAACCACAAGCACAATCGATAATTGTTTCCGATATACCATTTTTGATTGTCAAAACGTCTCACAACCCTTCCAAAATCTTCCTTGGACATGTTCCCCCATTTCATCGATTGGGTATAAAATCCCCGAATGCTACTCGGTCGGGTACTATAAACAGTGGATTTCTCTTGCCAGCGGCCGTACACGTTGACCTCGAGAATTTTTTCAAAGCACACGTTCTTCCAATACTTTCAATTCTACAGCCACAAAATGGCCTCGACCTCGTCTTTTATTTGAGGAAATCTGGGAGTGGTGGAGGCAATGCGTTTTCAATCGACTCATCACCAGGAGAGGAAGATGTGTAAATATTTCTCATCACAAGATGACGGCTTTGAAATTATTACAGTATTGACATCATGACAAAGGGATTGATGATTGATGATTGATCACCTACCCTCTCTTCTCTATTCGATATGGAGTAAAAGAGGATCCTTTCAGAGACCGCCTCAAGAGTCAATGCAGGCCCATCCATTTTCAGTTATGATATCTGCCAGTGCTAGTATCATGAACTTAATAATAGCTTGAGGGAAATTATCAATGTCTCCACTGTGGAGAAAAGGGTAAATCTATGGAGTGGTAAATTTATGGAGTGGTTCTAGAATTCAGCCATTTCACTTATTTCTCTACTTACTCCGTACATCTACACCTACTCGTAAGGTTACAGCTTATATCTAGCTTTCCTTCCCTTTCTGTTATTCGGCTTCCTCCTTTATTCCTCATCTGCTATTCTACTGCACAGGTACATCTCTTTCTTGAGATGACAATCGAACATACACGGTGAAGGGCCTCTGTCACATACTTCAGCTCCGAGGCTTAAACATGGCCTTGATTTGGGTCTTCAGGATCATATATTATGGGGCAGATGGAGATTCTTTCCACTCTTATGCTCTTCATTCCAAGGATACCTTCGCCGTTCCGGTTGAGGTATCAATCCATACAATCAGCTGACATTCTCGAAGAACTTCCAAATCCTCCCGCCTGTCCGGTAATGAAAAGGCAATCCCGTTGCGCCTCTTAGATGCATCTCAGATGTCTCGCTCTTATCGTGGCCGGGAGCGTACAAGATCGAGGAATCACGATGATCGGGTACAAATGATATCATGTTTGTCCTCTGATGCTTACGCCATGAGGTTACGATCTGTACTGTTTCCATCGATTCGATCTCCTCACGATGAGACAATTCCATTCTTCGAAATGAACGTTACAGAGGTCATATATCTAAGACATATGTGCTCTAGATTTCTACAAAAGTATTTCTCGGCGCATACTTCAAAGTACTTACGAGTAGAGTACCAAAAGCGATTCGTCTCACACAGGTATAACACTTGACCCAAAAAGAACTCACCTGATGATTCTACCCCGTCTCGAAGAGAATATTTTGGAATTTGGGCAATCCTAAATAATGTACTTTGAGCTCCAAGAGTAATGTTATTGATTATTGCAGAATTTTAGGACAATACAAACTCCGACAAAGCAGCTGTACCATCCATCTCACACGATGTACTTTGTACCCTCACGTTACGAGAAAGAAAGAAGGCATTCGTCAGCCTTGCTACGATGATTTAGCCTTGCATAAGGGTCCAACGATACCCAGGTGGTCCCTTGAAGTTCAATCAATCAATCTGAGATCCTGCATAATTCTTGATGCTGCCAACGTTTCGAATTTACCTTCTCCATGACCTAGGTAGTCTCCCCATCACAATACCGACTTTGATTGGTCTGGGATTTGAGAAGCACGGCATTCACGAATTCCAATATTATTTGATAATTGATTCCAATTGGAGATTCGGAGATAATGTTCGATAAATAGATATGGGAATTTGATTGGTATTTGTTTTATGCTTATCGATTATTCAGCTGTGATTTTGATACCCATCTACGAGTACTGGTTGATTGGAAATTACCTGGTTGTATCTTTTATCTTCTCCCACTCTTCGAGGACCGGAGTACAAACGAAAATGATGACTGGATATTGGGACCAAGTTCCAACACACTACTGTTCTGTAACCTGTGACTTCTTTTCTACTCGAATCATATCATGGCATAGACATTGAATTGATATGATCTGAAGCGCGTTTTGAACTCATTCATTCTTCTGTTTTGGCTAAAGCATTCGAACAATTATATTATCATTATCACCTACCTACCTAGTTTCATCACTCCTCTCCCTTCCCCCACAGACTTTGATTCCCTACATCGTACCTACTTTCCCAAGTCCTAAGCGCTCTCTCCAGATGACGTACCGGCCGTGTACTTTTGCCTGCGATTTTCAATCTTAAAGTCAAGAAAGTCAAGACCCAATTTTCTATTCATCGCAGACCACTCACCAAGCTTTAACCATTGGAATTGGGTCAATCCGTGGCTCGAGGGTTGGTAGCTCAATTATCAGAACTTGTTTCTTGGCTCACCTGGTCAAGAGAGAAAAGATCCGGCAGAAGGAAAAGAAACCGAATTCTAGATTTCTCAATTTACATCTCTTTAGTATCTTATTATTGTTCCGATGGTCCCCTAAAATATTTCTCGATCTTTTCTATTTACAAGATTTTAGACTTGTCCTTAGTATCAATCAAGGGGACCTTGATATTGATATATCGTATAAGCAAAAAGAAAAGAAAACAGAGAACAAACACCCCCTGGATATATTTGTGTTTTCGCTCTCGAATTCTTTTGTTTACAAAAGATAAGCAAAAATGCAATCGCGGCGGGAATCTGCGATTGAAGATCCAAACTTCTTAACAACAACGGGAACAGAATTGCCAACGTTATCGACATCCGGAGTTTCTGGAAATAATGCAAGAAGGAACAGTAGAAGAGAAAGTATTGGGGCATCTACAGCACGTACATCGGCGAATTCACTAGCACAACAAAACACACTGAATTCTCAAAGAACAACCGGACAACCACAACGACCTCCACCAGCGGTATGGCGACCAACTATTCGAATCAGACGAATACCATCAACGGCCAATCTTTCTGCTGGAAATTCGCAGATTAATCAACCTTATGACAATACGTCTCGGAGAGATTGGCAGACCCGCAATAACTCAACTCCACACGTTGATAATCATCTCACATCAGTCGACGATACTATTGATACATCGAACAGGCGTCGAAGTAGTTCTGAGCCACAACGCCCAGCATGGTTAAGCTCTCAATCAGCTACAACCGCCGGTCCACCACGAGTGAGGGCGGGTTCATATATTCCGTCTACCATTGAGGAGGCTTCTGCAACAAAACAAGAAGGTCCAATTTTTGCTTCAATTAATACCGGTGGAAATAATACGGCAAATGAAGTCCCTCCTCCTCTACAACATTCTCATACCCATAGTGAAGGGGTCCCAAGAACACAAGATGAATACGACACTGATCTTGTTGATTTCCTTGATCTAGTTGGTTTGTCTCCCCTCAATGCTGTTATAAGAATATCTTGAATATCTCTAACCATTTTCCAGATCCCGAAATTTCCACGTTGACAAGTCTTACTAATATTCAAAACTCTTTATTTATTCCATCACTTGGAAACCTATTTAACCGTAATCCAACATATAATCTTACCCGAAATGAACTTATCCGTCGACCAACCAATGATCTGGCTCGTCAGCAAACAAATAGTCTTTCTCGTCGTCCAACAAACTTGGCGGATCTTCCGACAATAGAAGAGCCTGGGCCAAATGACGAATTAGGACAAGCTCTCCCTCGCCCAGGAAGGCCTCGACTTCAAAGTAGAGATACTGGTGCTTTTACTCTCACTGAATCCATATCACATCCAGATGAGGAACATCCTCATTATGCCGTAGTCCCGGAAGGCATTAATTTGGATGGTTGGTCACCAGAGGATAAAGAAGAACTTAATGATCATGTGCGTCATCTATTACATTCAAGAAGAGAAGGATTCAAGCGAGCAATGAAAGGATTTGGACAATATGTTAGAAAGCGTAAGTTTTCTGCAATCATCTATGGTATACATTAGACTAATATTTTTAGCTCTCGGATTCTTCGTTACCCTATATGCAACTCTTATTACCCTATTTGGATTGGCATGGGTTCTTTTTCTGATTGGTTGGGTTAATGTTGGAAGTAAACGTCTATATGTGATCAACGTTATTGACAATGTTCTTGTTGCACTTTTTGCTATTATGGGTGATGGACTTGCTCCATTTCGGGCTATCGACACTTACCATATGATATACATCGCCCACTATCATCACCTAACATGGCGACTTCGCAAAGAAAAGGCTCTACCAAAATTGGAAGATCATAACGATTTACCAGCAATATTACCAGAAGATCTAGAAGATCAGATTGTCGAAGATGAAGTATCAGTTCTTAATCCAGCTCAACAAAAGAAACTTCAACATCATCAAAAGAAATTCAACCGATCTCATACGTTCTATAAGCCTCACGAAACTAACACACATCACGCATTTCCTCTTAGATTACTTGTCGCCGTTGTCGTTCTTCTGGATTGTCATTCTCTTCTTCAAATAGCTCTTGGTACATGTACTTGGGCAATTAGTTATAAGACTAGACCATTTGCATTAACTACAGTTATTCTATGCTGCAGTATCACAGTCAATATAACAGCTGGTGTACTTATCAGTATCGGAGATCATAGAACTAGAAAGAAGGATGTTTTGGAAAGAATGTTTAAGCAAGATCTGACCAAAGAGGCTATTCATAAGATGGAGAAGGCTAGAGAAAAGGAAAAGGAAAAAAATGGTGAACTGGAGGCTGAAAATAAAGCAGAACTTGATTTCCTAAGGGACAACAGACAAAATACTAAAAGGGAAAAGAAGGGGACAGGAATCGAAGTTCGGGATGAAAATGGACAAAGTGACACTACGACTTAGACTGAGGCCAGTACTTCGAAAGATCTATAAAGTTGTATAGGCAAGACATGAGGGATGTGTTGAATGAATTGTTAATATCATATTTGGGATATGAGTTTGAGAATTGCATGGGCGTGGGTGCGTGCCGATGGATGATGGATGATGGATGATGGATAGATGGGAATTTTATATAATAGATACCAGAGGCTTCTTCGTGGCCATTTTACTATTCTTTTAATTACTTCGATGAGTTTTGAAACAATTACATCACAAGGCAATTCAGCTTTTTGCTTTTGTTGCTCGAAATCTTTTTTTCGTCCTAGCATTCTGGTTCAATGGATGAATGAGATTCGATATGCAACCATTCCACATATGCCGAAGAGAAAAACAGCCACTGCAAGTACCTAGTACTCATTGGATCGGTCATATGCACTCCACCTCCACCTCCACCTCCACTCACCACTTTTTGCGCACATACATCGCTTACTTGATTAGATCAGCCACGAAGAAAATTCCATTCGTGTTATCCATACTTGTAACCCCACCCACCTCCAGGCTAATGTAAATGTCCATCCAATCCATTCATTGATACATAGGTAACCCTACCCCACAGCACCACCCAAAAATAATATATATTTAAATTGCGACTGAGCAGATATCCAAAAAGGCCGGATGGTGTAGTTGGTTATCACGTGTCCTTAACAATTTCACGGTTTCTGAAAGGTGATTGCGATTTGTTATGTTCGGACAAGGTCCTGGGATCGTGCCCCAGTCTGGTCAACTTATTTTTTTTTTTGCGTTTTTTTTGGATGTTTGGTGGGCGGGGGGATTTTAAGGGAGGGAGAGGGGGAGAGGGGAGAGAAAGAGGGAAGAAAGGTGTTTGTTTGGGGTTTGTGCGGGGGAGGGTGGAAGAAGAGTGTAGGTAGGGAGGAAAGGGAAATAGGGAGATGGATAGTAGATACTTCGTAGACGTGTATATTTGAATTATCTAATTGTGTAAAGGTTTTGATTAGACTTTTTTCTTCTTCTGTCAGGTTTTCGTTCGTTTGTCCTGTGGTATTTGTGTTTTCAAGTAGGTAGTTCCTACATTCTCTGTTTTATATTTCTCGATTTTCTATGTTTGAAATCTTGGGTAGCTGTATGAGTATAGGTTTGTTTGACTTGGGTTTATGGTTGCGTATTGAGATGGACTGGTTATGGTTATGGTTATTGAATGGTAAATTACGAGGAAATGTTGAGAAAAGTACGTCTTGACGACTCGACTCGACTCGACTCGACTGTTTCGAGTGGAATTCAATTTGAGTGGCATTGTTTATCAATCTGTGAACGGGTCAAAAGACTTCTGAAGTTGAACAAAAGGAATCCTCTTGAACATGATTCATACAGTGGTTGCGCTGTATGGAATCGGTGACATAAAAATGATCTTCTATTGGAGCGATAAAAAGATTCCTAGTCGTAGGTATTTTTGGATCTCATAATCAAATATGACGAATTTGTGATCATAAACTGCTTCAATTTCTAAGAAGTTCTGCGGGGGCATCGATTACAAATTTGCTTACGGGATTGCTCCAGGTGAGATGATCAAGCCCCCATTCTTGTTTTAGAACTCACATGTTTACGTTCACTTCGCTTCACCTCATCACTATCATTAATCACACTATTCAAAATGACAAATCTTTCACTTCCTCCCCCCTTTCTCATCAACGGACTCTCCTACATCCCACCCCCATCAGCAAAAGCATTCGAAGAAGAATTCGCCGGGATCCTCCCCCCGGGAAAAGATATCCCATCATCTCGAGGAACAATCCATTACTATGAGTTCAATCCCTCCGCCTCATCAAACACCAAAAAGGTTCTCCTAATCCATGGCATTGCAACAAGTGCCATTGGTATCGCACCTCTTGCTCGTCAACTTACAGCCTTGGGATCTCATGTGGTGATTTATGATCTCTGGGGCCATGGGAATTCTTCGACTCCGTTGGAGGCACACACGCCGGCGTTGATGCATCTGCAGATTTTTGAAGTTCTCGCGCATTTGGGATGGAACAAGGCGCATTTTGTGGGGTTTAGTTTGGGCGGGAGTATTGTGGCTACTTTCGCGGCGGTGTATGCGCAGGTGGTGGAGAGCGCGGTCATTGTAGCTGGAGCGGGACTTTGGAAGAAAGAGAATGGTGGATGGTGGAATAAGGTGCGGAAGGATGGGGATTGGATGGTAGATGATGAGAGTGATCGTACTATCATTGAGGAATTAGTGGGCTTCGCTCCTTCGAATAAAACTTGGAAAGAAGCAATTCGGCAAGGAGAATTTGTATCCCAGCCGATCGATCAATGGCAGAGGGAAAATCATAAAGGGCATGAAGCGAGTGTGGTTAGTATTTTCAGACATGGGAATGTTTTTGATCAGCATGAGAGTTATAGGAAGTTGATTGAGAGTGGGATCAAGATTTTGGTGATAGTGGGGGAATTTGATACTTCGTTTCCGCCAGAATTTGTGAAAAGAGAGTTGGGGGAGTTGGGGTGGGAGAAAGAGATATTTCAGGTGGATGGGGCAGGGCATGTTTTGGTGAGGACGCATGAAAAGGTGGTGGGAGGATTGATTGAGGAGTTTTGGGAGAGGGAATTTGGGATGTGAAAGGGTTTATGGGTTGGTTTTTTAAGGGAGAGTTTAGCAGGGGGAGGGCAGGATTATGGGGGTTTGGGTTTTGGTAAGTGGATAGATTGATGGATTTGTAAAGACATGAAGGTAGAAGAATATTTTCATATAATCATGAGTTTATGAAGAATTGCGGGGATGGGAATGTTGGTTGAGGTGTTTCCATTGAAAAGGATGCTAATTATTATACAATCTTGTAGAAGCTATGAGTGCTAGTCTATCTTTCGACATCTCATCTAAGTTTTTATGTAGCTCCTTGATCGCTAAGACATCTATCTAACCTGTAAGATGAGTGAGCTCGGGAAATATATTTTTCGAGAGAAGAAGCTGACTACGAGCTTCTTTTCATCTCCATAGACAAAGGCGGAAGTACAGTACATTGAATGAGGGTTTGAAATACATTCAGGAATGTAGACTTCAACACTCTAGCACGATAGTTTTCAAGTTTTCTACAGAAGGGGTGAATTTCTCTAACGAGATATGGATGTATGAGAGATCGCCTAAAATGGAAGATGACTCGGTAGAATGAATTCACAATGATTCTCCCATCAATGGTTTTGGATATCTTGTCATTATTCATGTATTCTAATAAGATGTAAGTCGCATGCTAGAGTTTTCCATCCTCTATGGATCCCATGCTGAAACGCCTTGCTGTAGAAATGGTTGTGAAAAAGAAAAAGAAAACCGCCCATGCCGACCGTAGTTGGTATTAGATTAAGAAACCTCCCCCGTAACATTTTCCCTTCCGATCCGAAATGTTACTCATGTCCTCCCTTCATTATCCCGTGCAGCCCCAAATGCTGCCGATACCCTCCATTCGTCATTCCATTCTATACAGATCTAGACGGATTCTCTCGCATAGCCATGGCCTTGGTACTTGGTCGCAGATGGAACTCTATCCTCCATCGGATATCCATCTCTGCTTCCTGTCGAAACTGGAGTCGAGTATTGTTGTCCCTTTCCTTGAATGATGGCACTTGGATGTCTCAGATTGAAAATTACCATAACCAAGAACATAAGCGTAGCATCAAAGACGTAGATGTACGTTTCGGTCGACAAAAGAGCACCGTCAGATCCTTGGACATACTCCGCAATACGGAATATCGATCGAATCATGATAAAAGTACTGGCAATGTAAAGAATATATAGATATTGTTGCCATGGTACAGCAGAAGCTTGAAGTCCGCCTTGTGCTTTGACGATTCTTGAGTGAAAGATGCCGGTCGTGAAGATGAAGAAAGCGAAGAAAACAACTTGGACGACGAGACCACCCGTGATGATGTTTTCGCCCAACTTGATATTCGAAGCGGTTTTGGCTTGAGCGAGCATTCCACCACCACTGGATTGCATCAGGAAAGAAAGAACATCGCCGGCGACAAATATTTTGGTGAGCCAGCGCGCGCGGATGATGGAATATTGTTCGCCGTCGGTGAGCACGATGATACGTCCGAGGACCATGTAGATGGATGCTGCGAAAAAGGCGGGGGCGATGAGAATGAGAAGCGTTTGCATGATGTAGGGTCCGAGTGTCCAATCACCGTAATTCTCGCGAGAAGATAGGAGACGCCCGACGTAACCTATGGCTTCAACTGTAGAGTAGGTTAGTATGAGTTGAGAAATGTGAAAGGTGTAGGTTGTCGGCAGCGTTCAGATCATGTGAAGTGAAGCTGTGAAGGATTGTGGAAGAGTACACTTACATAAACCTCCGATGACGAAGGGAATGAAATACCATGTTCGCTTGGAGACTAATTGGTAGATGTGGAGGATGGCGGAGATACCAAATAGGACTACAAAAACGCAAGATGCGGCTGTTGATGGTTCATAGTGATAGAGCATATATTTTTCTCCGTTGACCGACATGATGATTGGTTTGTGGTGAGTGTATCACGTTCGTCTAATCGTTAAATATCAATTCGAAGCTCAGGGGACGGAAAGTAGAGGAATATCGGGACTTGAGATCTCGAACGGTCGGTTTCTTTTGAGAGGAAGGAGAGAAGCTTGTAGATGAGAATGAGATATAGTAGAAGACTCCATTTTGAAAACAGGAGAGAGCTATATAATATGTGATTTCTGGAAAAATGCAAATTAGATAAAAAGTCGCAGCTTCGTACTGAGAAGCTCTTCATTGGAGACGTATTGGCGTATTCGTACATCGCTTCTCGCTTTCTCGCTTTCGGAGGGGCTCGCATAGAATGCGAGGAGGGCTGAGCTTTGAAGTGGGTACGACTAGGCGGTAGACTCTTGGACTTCCTGCCTCATGGGAGAAGCATGAATAGGATAGGATAGGTAATCTCAAGATTAGAAAGAGTCTCTAAAAACGTGATGTTGGGAGGACGATATTTTGTAGTGTTTTTGTTTTGCTAATTGTGTATTCTAACGTTTTCCAAAAATTGTTACTTCCATGTTTACAGCACAATTTCGTAGATTGAATACAAACAAATCTTTGGGTCTGTTCCCTTCACCGAGTCTAGAAAACTCGCAATCAACAAGCTAATGATCGTAATTGCGGTGATACGAAATTTGATTGGGGATGAGATCCAAAACAAATTGTCTAATTGGATCGCTTGGTAGTTCCCTTGCTAGCTCAAGCCACTCGCACGTCGCACTCGCACTCGCACTCGTAAACCTCTCGCACTTCTCGTACACGACTTCGCTCTCAACCTCACGAGTCACAACCTCATTCCATCAAACCACAGCCCCAGCCCCAGCAACACGCAGAATCTGACTTTGGCTCCACGGCAACTTCCTTTTGGCCTGTCAATTACTGGTATCTTGATATCCTGGCCATGCCTGTATTGCGCCTCTAAAGATAACTGATAGCTGGCAGAAAGGCTCATAAGGCTTCGGTATAACGGAGTATTCTTCAGTCGTCGTGTTCGGACTTCCCTCGTTCCTCTGGCCACTCCACGGGTCTTGCAAACGCGACAAGATAAGATCTCGTGAAAATTGGATCATGCAAGGGACGTCTCGTAAACCGCATCGAAAAGTCAGGACTGGTTGTCGCGTCTGCAAAACTAGGAAAATTAAGGTGCGGCTACTAATGTTTTCTTTGTATGGGCAATGAATGCATGATTAATGATTTCTACTTTAGTGCGATGAAAATAAGCCGTCATGTAAGACACTAAAGATAACGTGTTTGGTAGTCTGGATTGCAGTCCATTCTTGAAAGTTTTCAATACATGTTGAATTTGACTTGATCATGCCTTAATTGATTATATCTTGGAGATGATATCAAAACTTCAAATTCCTTAGGGCTGGATTGCAATCCAGAATATTGATCGCGCGATGAATGAACCTTTCTAATTCTAACATTCATGTAGGCAACAATTGTATCAGGCATTCCGTACAATGCGATATTATGATCACCAGCGCGGCAGTCACACCTGCTGCATCGGTCCCGTCGCCTAGTCCTAGCTTTAATGGCGCGGGGACTCCCATGAATAAGTTTAGCCCTATGAGTGCTACTGGGTCATCAATTTCTACCCACCAAATGCCATTACCTTCCATTTCCATGCTCGACAGTCAAGCACCAAACTTTACTCTTCTTGACATGGAACTACTTCACCATTACACAATATCTACGTCTATGACTTTGGCTTCGAGTCCTCCGATCAGGACATTATGGCGAATCAACGTTCCGGAACTTTCATACTCTCATGAATTCTTGATGCGAGGTCTTATGGCACTTGCGGCCCTACATATTGCTTATTATAAACCAGAGAAGAGGGATCTTTATATCGCGAGAGCTGCGTTTCATCATCAAAAGGCATTAGCTGATGCAATTCCCCTGATGAGTGACGTCAACGATGAAAATTGTACTTCCCTGTATGTATTCACTTCCCTCACCTTAGTATACTCGATAGGAAGTCCTCGAAGACCTTTGGATCTCTTGATTGTCGGCGATAATGATGTATCGGATTGGGTATCTCTTCTGAAAGGAGTCAGAGCTTTGACAGATCATGCTCCAGATTTAATTTACAGTGGACCTCTAAGACCTATGTTTACAGCTGGAGGGAGACGTGATCAATTGAGAAATGATCAGGTTACCCCCCCAAACCAAGATCTCATCAATCTAGCCAAATTTCTGTCAGAAACAACGCCTGATCCACAGGATTTGGAAGCATATATTCAAAGCATAGATGAGCTTCAAAGGTCTTTCGTCGTTCTTGCAAATAGGGATAGTCATAGTTTCGAGTTGACTGATGTGTTTATATGGCCGTATCGAGTACACGATCACTATTTAGTACTTCTTCGACAAAGGACTGCGGGGGCTCTCACAATTTATGCACATTTTGCCGTGTTATTGAAGCATCTAGATTCATATTGGTACATGAAAGGTTGGTCGGAATATCTAATTGCTCAAATTTGGGGTTTATTGGATGAAGAACATCGGTTGTGGATTAGAGGACCAATTGAAGAAATTGGATGGGTTCCTTGATCCTTATTCAAGATCTATATTGAGATTGTACGATTGAAGATGGTTTTGACTTTATCGAATGTTGTTGGTCAACAGTTTTGACACTGAATCAAGAGAGAAACGCTTGCAATTTGCGGATATATTATGTATTGTGATGGCTACCACGAATTTTTGGAATTACCATTACATCTCTCTCTCTCTCTCTGCTGGTGGATGACTATCGCATAATTTACGAATTGAGATCATGAGGCTACGAAAATTGTCTACAAAGCCATTCGTTCACAAAATTCATGGCAGACATTCAGTTGAAGGATTTTTTATCCCTTTGGAGGAGCATTCTTAGACACTCAGTTGCAAATCCAAATAGAAACAGGGGCTCTAGATACCTTTCTCAAGTGAAATATACTCTATACGAGCCTTCGTGACTGGATTTGCAAATTGCTTTCAGTATTACTAGGTCGCAAGTTTGGCTCACAAGTATTGACGATTAACCAATTAATTTTCCTTCTTCACCTTCCTTAGGTGCTCAAAACAAACACAACACAATTTTTCTCCTATTCCAACAAAGAACAAAACAACTTCCAACACACTCAACTTCATTGGCATCCTGTTCAAACTTTTTCTATCAAATCTTCAGTTCGTCATTGTCGGCCATGCATTCTCCAGAATGACACATCAATCCATGACAGCATTTATCATGTTGCATCATACATGATTCTACTCTCACATTAGCATTCTCATCTCACAGAGATAGAAATAGAAAGGTTACTTACCTCCTTGTGGTAAACAATGTTTCTTCTCGATTTTCTCAACAAACCCATGGAACATCCCTTTCAATGTGTATAGGCGAGAGTGCTCCTCTTCCTGATCGTCAGGTGTCATGCAATATGACATACCCGATTCCGACATACCTATGCAACTTTGACCTTCGCAGCAGCTATTACGTTGATCTTTTTTACATGGACCTTTTTCTTGTCAATTTTACTACTAAATGAAGAAGGATGGGGATTCTTACATCTAAAAGGTGAGCATCCAGTGGGCTCCTGTGGTGCGCAGTTTTCAGTCATCAATTCATCCTTCTTTTTCGAAATGGCATGTTTCTTTGATGAAGCAATTTCAGTCTTTTTATTCGAATCGGACATAGAGACACAGAAAGATTCATGATGAGAATCTACGTATGCGCATTGAAAATCCGGACAGCATGGAGCAGGTGGACACTTGGAGTTTTGTCTGTGGCGATGACACATCTCTGTATCGTTGCATTAGCTCTCTTCCACAAATTGGAATCAAAATGGGGTCAGGAACGTACGGCCTCCTTCAATACACATGTTCCTGTCACAATCTTCTTCGAAGACGTTTTTGTCTTTTGATGAGAAGAGTGGTTGTTGATCTTGGGAGAGAACAGTTGAAACATCGTCATCGTCATCATCATCATCATCATCAGAGTCCTTTGCACACATAAAGCTTTCACCTCTGACATTATTACAACTTGATCCAGGGCAACATTTCATGCCGGGCGTGTTGCAGTGGTGTGCTATCGAGATATCAGTTACTATTCTAAGATGAATGTGACGTAAAAGAGTATAACATGCCTCCAGGAACCAAACATTGTTTCTTATCGTCATCATCAGACTCCTTTTCGCACATAAACATGTTACTGTCAGACTTTCCAATCTTGTTGCATTTTGATCCGCTGCAACATTTTGGGGAGCCAAGGTGGTTGCAATGCATTGCTAGCGAAGACTTAGTATTGATGCAGATAGTGAGGAGGGGTAACCATACAACCAGGTTTCAAACACTTGTCATCACCATCTTGATCATCGGATTCCTTTTCGCACATAAACATTGGGCTATCGGATCTTCCAACCTTGTTACATTTTGCTCCGGAGCAACATGGTGGTGCACCTTGCAAATTACAATGCATTGCTTGATAGTCTTTAGTATTGAACTGCAATATAGCAAAGGAGTGGAAGAGAACACACAACCCGATTCCAAACATTTTTCCGCATCTTCGATTTTCTTGAGTGGATTCTTCGACTCATGCGAAGGTTTACATTTTCCATAATCGCCATTGGGGTTATTGGTCATATCACAAAAGAGACCAAAACAGCAATTAATGTCGGATTTTGGATGACACACATCTAAAATATCTGGTTAGTCCTATGGTATAGAAATTTAGAATCAGGGTTCTTACCATCAGACATGGAACACATGCATTTCTCATCCTTCTTACGATCATTCGACGCGCGACAAATACCATAATCCCCATTGGGATTATCCATCATTTCGCAGGATAATCCATTGCAGCAATTGATATGGGATGCTTTGTGGCAGACGGCTGGATTTGTCAGTTTGATTCTATCTAGGAGTGTATAGGTATGGGAGGAGTAACATACATCCCATAGCAGAACATTGGCAATCCTTCTCAAACACATTCGATCCCGCATGGAAAGCTGCAGATCTCGGAGCCGCAAGCGCAGAGATGGTAGAAAAGAGGGAAAGAATTGCGAGAATGACATTGGTTGAACGCATGGTTACTAATACGCAATTGATGATGTGATATGGGTAAAAGTGATGCAATACTTAGTATTGGTATGGGAATAGTGTTAAGAGCATTGGGAAGATATATGTTTAAGAAGGGGAATGTGGAATTGAGATACGTGGTTTCTGAGGTAATGGGGAGGTGAGGTGAGGAGTGTACATTCCTGAGGATTTTGACGATTACGCTCTATTTTTTGACGACGTGAAGAATATTAGTTGGTACCGGTATGATGGTTATACCCATGGTTGTCTCGGTATAATTAGATCTATAAATATTTAGTGCATACTGTCGTTCCCTCTTTGGAAAGTAGGTGTTATTAGGTTTCTCGATGAAGAAAGAGTTCATACAAAGGAACGTGGTATTCCACCTTGAGTTAGCCAGCACTATATTCCAAAGTTCTCTCTTCCGTAACCGTTTGATCTCTCGAGTTGAAAGAGAGATTTCATGGGATGAAAACTCATCCATTTCTGTCAGAATGCTCTATCACATCTATGAGACATTATTAAGTACAGAGATTTCTTCATGTTTAAATTTTTATAAAGATTACACGAAGTCTCACGAAACGTAGTCAAGGCTAATTCGAAGTGCAACCTACTGCTCCATTGCGTACAAAGCTTTATGAAAGGTCTCCCGAAGCTTGGACTAATGAGAATACTTGTCTGCTTCCTCGTGTCGGCGGAGAAGTATTCAAGAAAACAGCTACTTGTGCAGTAGTGTCATCCCCAGTAGCCGCTGAAGTTTTGATGGATGGGCTTTCCATCATTACTGTCTCGTCGACTGAAAATAGTCGAGTTGTTATCAAAGGTTCCTTGATACATGGGTTGTTCAAAATGCATTAGCTTTGAAAGGCATAGATTCACCGTTGATGTGAAATTATTTACTATCCTCAATAATTACAAACGCTGGAGGGAGTATGCATAGGCCTGTGCAACACGCTAAGATATACTATTACAATGGCACATACAATGCTGTGGTAATGATGCTTCGTAATCACCTACCCTTTCTCTCATCGCCACCATTAGAAAACTTGAAGCCCAACCCCTTTTCCGTTTCCATCCATGCAACCATATGGTTCAACGCTAACCCAACAAAACATAAACTTCAAATGTATGAACCACTTGTTGACTGGCTTTTTGACCGCGAATAAATGCAGTTGTACCAATTCCATCCATTCAGAGGATCGTCCAGACTTCATCATGAGTGCCCATCCATATGTTTCCTCCATCTGCACAATTGTGGGGGGAGGCTTTCAGAGATTCGATGGCAGGGAAATGGCTCAGGAAAACCGATGTCGGCCGACTCTAAGAGTGAGTTCTTTAATTTGATCGTCAATCATTGACAGCTTCTCAAACTTCTCTTGCCTTTCTTTGGTCCTCTGCATATGTTGCCATTTCTTCTCTTTCATCCTTTGCAATTGTCGACGTCTATGCGAGTAATCTAGTAGTCTCGGGTCTCCCACCTTGAGTTTTGCGCGGTATGGATTATCACCAGTACATGAAGAGGCAACCCAGCTTGCAAAAATTTGATCCATGTCCTTCAGATCTTTGGGATTATCCTTGATATATTGATCCCAATACCGAATGAAGTTGATGGCGCTTGTGAGCAACCTGTGACCATCCTTTTCGTTGGCCTCAAATTCTTCCCAATCAAGCGGGTGAACCGTGATCATGTGGCCTTCCCACTCTGATTCAAGTCTAACCATCAACCAATTCTGTACATTTAATCCAGATGTGCGTGACGGCTTAAATGGTGCTCCCGCTGTATAAGTGTACTGAGGATATTTTGTTTTCCAATTGGGCGGCAAGGGAACGCGATTTTCTCTCTGGAATGCCTGACCATGGAGGTCTTGGGCTCCTCTGGGCTTGGTTTTGCATTGACGATATTTGCGAGAAAATATACCAGCTTTGTAGGCCATTTCGTGGTCCCATTTCAATTGGGGTTTTGAGGGTTTGTTGCTTTTCCCATGAGACGCCAAAGCCGGAGGCTTGTTTTCATGTCTTGAGACTGGCATCTTGCACTCTCAGTCCTTTCTTTGGGATTTGGTAGCCAATATGATTTTCTCAGGACTGGCACGATCTCTCATGAAGTTATTCGAATGAGAAGAATCTTCCGTAAAGTTTTTCTTGATGGTGAAAAATTGAAGTATGTCGTAATGGATGAGGAAGGAGAGCAAGTTCAAAAAAGAATGCACGGTTGAGTAAAATAATGCCCAAAATGAGTACTGAAAACACTGAATTTGGGTTTTCAATTATATATGTTGTTTTCAAGGGGTTTAGAAGTGGTTTTGTTTGAAGGAGTGAAGGATTAAATATATCATTGTCCTACGAACAACCTTCACGAGGGAGGAGCGTAGAACTTTTCACCACCTAGCAGTATGAGGAAGGGAAAGTGTGATAGCAGAAGAGGATCAGCTAGGAACTCCACGAACATTAGAGGTTTTCCCAAAACAATCATTCGATCGTTCCAAATGAAGATCAAAAACCAAAAGATTCTCTCGTCTGACCTGTACTTCCGAATATCAGGAATCTTATTCTCGTCAAGAAAGGGGCAATTCGAGTTCATGATGACCAAAAATAAGGAAACTGCCAATTTAAAAATCCAACCAAGTAATGTGCCCCGGGGAGAAAAGAGAACGACGAGCAAGAACTTCTCGAAAGTTGGCATTGCAATTCAGATAAGATCGAAAAAGAAATTAAGATCATGGAGACAGTGATAATTTAGATTTGAATTTGGATCTCAATAATTCCACACGTGTTCCCTCAGAAAGGTAAGAGAAGAATAGAGCAAAGGCAAAGCAACATGATCTGGAGAATCAGGAAATCGCATAGCCGCAACATATTCATTGAGAACCACTTGACCATGAGCTTTCCGCAAAAATTATGGCTGCCTCGCATCTTACCATTGTTGTTGACCACATTGCAGATTTGGTTTCAAGACAGGCATATTTTTGATATTCCAACCAATATATAGATAGCAATTGGACCATTTGTAGCACAGCTTATGGACATGTACAAAGCTTGCCCGATTCAAATGCTAGGCCGAAATAGCATCTTCGAGGAGTTGATGGCCACCCCGCAGTTTCAAGTTACTGACTTCATTTGAGGAAAGAAATCAAACAAAGATAAGTACAACTCGGTATGTTTTTGGTGGCTGTTTCGTATTGATTGGTTGAATGATTTCTAGAATTCATTGAGCTAGGCTTTCCTGTCAAACCACTACCTACATTACTTCCTGTCCGGAGATAGCCAGATGTTTCCTTTTGAGGTTTCGACAGCGAATGATTTTAATTTGTGTTGTTATCTTTTCTCACGAAGCAGTCCAGTCCAGAGCGGACATCGTTAATGACAGTTCATGAGCTACGCACTTAGCACGTGCTTTAGCTTCTAGCTTGACTCCTACCTCACAGCGGGATATCTACTACAGTGTTAGCTCTTCCTCTCTTTGAATAGAAATAGAAAAATAGACAAAATAGATAGCATTAGCTAGACAATACACGAGTTCAATGCAGATCGCCTGACTACGTGTACATCAAAACACGTGATTCTCGAAACATCGAACGTCCGAGCGAGTAGCAAACATGATTACCGATTATGCATCTCGTCCCGCGTTTGTTTCTTAGCTCCCTTCCAAACTCTAGCAATCGCGTTTCAGGTGGAATTTGACAGCCGTGAACTTCCAACGTACTGGGAAGTGCTCTATCTGGAATTTTCGCAATCTGATGAGCAGACAATGTCCGTTGAGGCACAGATTGTTAACAGAGACAGCCAGACAGCCAGTCCTTTTCGGACATCCAGACGACCTGGTCAGATGGTATCTGGAATTTGATGATAAATCATCGAGTTTTTTATCGAATTTTTCATCTTGAATAAGCAAAAGTTCAATCTTAATAAGATGCTTAACAACTCATATGGGCGGTCAGCTAGGCAAATTTGGGAAGGTCTCGTTTTATTCAATTTTATTCAAAGCGCTGAATTCTCCGATGGGCTCAGATCCACGGCGCTAAGACCTCTCATTGGTCGTTCACCGCGGCTCGTTCACAGACTTCCTCAATGTACCAAAATCCAAAATCCAAAATCCAAAATTAATTTACAAAGCACTGTTCTTTTGATTCTAGGTTGAAGATGAGAAAGGTATATAGAGTCTCAGATCATGGGTGGTCAATCTTATTCAATATTATAATACTTTCATCATTTCACTCTCAATTTTCAATACCCTCCCAGCCCTTCATTTCTATCCTCATACAAATTACTTTTTGTTTTCTGATACTGGAAACTAATTGAGACGATCACATCACGAGATAATGGCCAACCCTCTCAAGAACATCGTCATCCTAGGTGGATCATATGCTGGAGTCAGTACAGCACATAGGATACTGAAGCAATCAGCCAAAGCTGGACTCGCCATCAAGATCACCTTGGTTTCACCAAACACCCATGTATACTGGAATCTTGCAGCCACACGAGCAATTGTACCTGGAGAAATGCCAGATGAGAAACTTTTCGCATCCATAGCTACAGGATTCAAGCAATACACTGCTGATAAATTCGAATTTGTTGTCGGTACCGCTGAGGGATTGGACGTGGAGAACAAAACAGTTGTTGTTTCCGGAGATAGTGGGAGATCGAGCTTGAATTATGACACTCTTATCCTCGCCACGGGCTCAAGACCCAAAGAAGAATCGCCCTTCAAGGGCAAGGGTTCATATCAAGAGTCACTTGACTTGTTACATGAATGGCAAGCTAAGGTCAAGGATGCGTCTTCCATCTATGTAGCTGGAGCTGGAGCGACAGGTATGTTCTTCGTCTATGATCAACCACGAAACTCAATGCTCATATATCCAATTAGGTGTCGAAACGGCAGGCGAGTTAGGTTTTGCATATGGTTCTTCAAAACAGATCACTCTGGTAAATACTTGAACGGAGATTAATGTAATTTCGAGCCTATTTACTAACTCCCATTTTCAGATTGCAAGTGGCCCTGTTGTACTTGAAGGCACTCCCGCAAGTGTCTCCAAAACAGCCATGAAACAACTTGAAAACCTCCAAGTCAAGATCAAAGTATCCACTAAGGTTTCCGGCACAGCAAAGACACCTGATGGAAAAACCGAAATCACATTATCGAACGGCGAGAAAATCATTGTCGACTTGTATATTCCGACCATGGGTATCGTCCCAAACTCTTCATTTATTCCAGAGAAATATCTCAACCCAGCCGGTTTTGCAGTTGTGGACCAGTTCTTGAGGTTGAAGGATGCTGGAAATGTGTGGGTCGTGGGCGATGTGTCTGCTGTTGAACGTGCACAATATGTGAATACCGACAAACAAAGCACCCATGTTGCGAAGAATATTGCATTGATATTGAAGAATTCCGAGCCATTAAGCTACAAGGTCGCGGATAAAAGTCAGTTGGCCTCTTCCCCCTCCAGCCCCCCTTTACTCTTTTCTCTAATCCCGTGTAAGTATCCTGGTAAACTAACTCAATTACAGATATGTTGGCAGTCCCAGTTGGCAAAAAGGCTGGCACAGGTCACATGGGAGGAATGAAATTCCCTAGCTTTGTAGTCAACATGGTGAAGGGGAAGACTTTATTCACTGAGAAGTTGACGCCTATGGTTAATGGATCTGCCTTTTAGACTGGTTGTATTGGCGTTCCTCTTGCAGAGGAGATGGATTTTCAGGCGTTGTGGCAAATAGGAAAGGGAGATACCCTTTCTTTCTTTTTCCTACTCATTAATATCTAATTATATTGTTCGTTTCGTTATGATATCATGACCCTATGCTGTGTTCAAATTTTAAGTCGCCCAGGCCGTATCCCACAGATTCCTTGAGGTTTTATATGCATGTCACACTGGTAAAAGCCTGCTTTAAAGGGACTGGTAGAAATATTGAACGAAAATGATTTTATCTCTAAGCCGTATTTAATGGCCATGATATATGATCGGGCTCTACCTAGGTATTCGCAGGAGAAAACTTAGGCGGAATTCGATCGTTTCTACAACATCTTTTGTAATTCAATTACTTCCCTCAAATAAACAAAATTTCAAAATATTGTCTAAACAACAAGGAGCTAATCCTTATTTCGATTTCTTGGATTTATATAAATCTTATGCAAATAATTTTTTATTCAATTAAGTTGGAAGATTTCAATAGAAATTTGAATGTTAAAAAATTCCGCCTGTGTTTTTGTCAATACGAAAAGTAACATCACGTGGTGTTTTTGATCGCCCCACTGTATTGGCCCAAATATTGTGTTTGGAGGATCTTACATAGATGGTAATCTGAGCTGAGTCGCAACGTACACAAATTTTGCAACACTTCAATCGCAAACCACATCCTTCAATCTTATCATTAAAGTGTCCTGAGAGATCATAAGATTGAGTTAGATACTGTTTATTGACTGGTGCTGTCGGATACTCAAATTAGACAATCGTGCATATCTTCCATTCACGCATTACTTTACAACGTAGAACCATCCTTTGGATTACGCACATACTGTCCGAATCTATATCCCGCGACCGAGAATGTTGCCATCGACCGATGCGCCCAAAATTTCCATGAAAGGTTTCTCCTTGGGTGCAGGATCTAAAAATGGCTCGGCGAAAACAAATGGTAGGCCGCAGCCTAAATCGGGGTTGGGAAAGCGGCCTAGAAGCACCTTTGCACACGATGACGAAGATTCAGATAATTCAGATAATGACACAAGCGCGAGAAGGGTAAAGCATGAGGTTGTTACTGGATTTGCGGATGGAGGCGTTATTAGAGAAGGAGATGAGAAGAGAGTGGCTGCGCCACTGGTTATTCCGAAACAAGAGAATAGGGATTGGAAAGGGGAAGCGAGAGAGAGGAAAGGAAGAGGGAAGAACTTATTGCCAGAGGAGGAGCAGAGGCGGAGAGCTGGAGAAGAAAATGAAGAAAAGGCAGATGTTGTGAATGGGAGTGATGGGGAGATAAAATGGGGATTGACTGTGAAGACTAAAGTCAAGGAGGACCTGATCGAGAGCGAGCGAACCATTGAACAAACTATACAAGTGGCGGAAGTGGAAGATAAGCCAAAGATAAAAACAGAAGATGAGCTGGCAATCGAGGCATTAATGGGGGTGGAGTCGAAACGAAATGGGCCAGACTTGATCATTGCTTCTGTTAATGAAAACGGAAATGATATGGTCACAGAAGAAGATGCCTACAAGAGAGCTATTGCATCAGCACCTGATGTTTCGACATTAGAAGATTATGATGCGGTGCCGGTGGAAGAATTCGGTGCCGCGCTGTTAAGAGGAATGGGATGGGATGGCAAAGAGAGAAAAGGCGGTGGAAAAGAGGTCAAGAGGAGGCAAAATTTATTAGGCTTAGGAGCAAAGGAACTGAAAGATGCAGAGGAATTAGGGGCCTGGGTTCAGAAGACCGATGCTAAAAGGTTACGACCTGGGGGTTCGTCTCAGTCACATAGAGGAAGTGATAGGGATAAGAAGAAAATGGGTGATTACGCTAGGGACAGAGATGAGAGAAGTCATCGTAGAGATAGAGACGAGGGTCGTGACCGGGAAAGGGAAAGGGAAAGAGATCGCCATCATGATCGCGACAGGTCGTATAGGAGGGACAGAGATGATCACAGAGAGCGTAGGAGTCGATGAATCGTTTGGACGTAGTGCACGGAAGAACGAATATTTTTTACATCATCGGCATCACACAAAATTCGTATCTAGTAATAGCCTGTGGTAGGCGGCAAAGAATTAATATTGATCATCAATGACGCAATGTAAGGATACATCATAGAACCTTGTTCACGCGGCTGAGGGTAGCAGATTTGGGAACATCTCGATAAGCCTGTTTTGCCAATGTTACATATTGTCCTCCATCGGAAGATGACATTTTACAATTTGCTACACCAATGACCTCTTCAAGAACTCGTCATCGGATATTAAATCTTATGTCCGTATCTGTCGGTAGTAAGCACACATACTAGGTAAATTCTTATGCTAAATTTGACTGGTATATCCAAGATGGCAGAGGAATAAGTACCGGATTGTTGTACAAAAAGTGTCTCCGGGATCAAAACGTAGACCGGAATCCCGCAATCGTACCATTTTCTTGAAAATTAAAGCAGTCCATCGAGACTTCTAGTAAGGAGATTCCAAAGATTCAAGACGGAGGATGACATATTCTGTCTAATCTCATCACATGCGAATATGGTTGCACAAACATCAAGAGGCGGTTGGTAGTACCTTCCGTTTCTACTAATTGCTTTTATCCGCCATGGTAGTGCTACAGGCTCATGCAGGGTGTTATCAGCCATTTCTACAATCTCACGTATCGATCAGCATGTCCATTTCTTCAATCGTCACTAGCTCTCTCGACTATCATACAAGTGTCTCGGGGCTGAGCGACACCATATGTCACATAAATACAGGAAAATTGGCCCTTTATTTATCTCACTCTTCCAAATACGAACCCCAAGCTTTGTAGTGATTTACATTGACCATGGACTATTTCACAGGTACAATCTTAGGGTATTCTACCAAATCGGCAGTTATAGCTGTCCTGGGTTCTTATGTCGTCTATGCCATTGTCAACAGTTTAATAAAATCACAGCGTCGTCGTAGTGAAGCTAGGAAGCTTGATTGCGAACGTCCACCTGCCCAAAAGAATAATCTTCCTCTGGGTATCGATCAAGTGACTCGAGCTCTTAACTCTCTCGCGGCGAAGACTTTCCCTCTCGACACCCAAAAGAAATTCGAAGAAGTAAATGCTCTTACTTACAGCAATTCGATTCTCGGCAACGATGGCTTCGCAACTATTGACGAAAACAACATCAAAGCGATGCTTGGAACACAATTTCCAGACTTCGATTTGGGTGCTCAAAGGATTGATAATTTCAAGGCATTCTTAGGACCTGGTATATTCGCACAAGATGGAAAAGATTGGGAACGATCGAGGGCAATTATGAGGCCACAATTTGCAAGGGATAATTTGAGTGATTTGGAAATGGAAGAAAAACATTTCCAGGTGTTGCTGAAGGCTCTACCTGAAATTGAAAAAGATGGCTGGTCGGGCGAAATAGATATTCAACCGTTACTATTCCGATTCACGTTAGATACGGCAACGGAATTTCTTTTGGGTCAGAGTGTTGAGAGTCAACTTGCGGGAATACAAACTACCCTTGGCATCAAGGGTGAGGAGACAGATTCCGACGCCTTTGCAAGAGAATTCGATATTGGCAACATGGGCTTGACAAAGAGGTCGAAATTTGCTCCCTATAGTGTGAGTGCACTTCGCTTTTTAATTTCACATCTTCTAATCCCCAAAGCGGGGTTTATGTTCATGTTTTTGATCCCTTTAGTTTCTCAATGCAGCTTAAAATATTTACCTACGCCCATCAGAGCTCCTATACGATAGCCTTACTAACTATCTCCAATTCTAGTGGCTGGTGTGGCCAAGTGGTTTCAGAAATGCCATCAAAACTTGCCATCGTGTCATTGATCGAATCGTTGCTGAAAATCTCGAGAAGATGAAAGCAGCCGGTGAGGTCGGTGATTCAGACCGCTACGTTTTTTTCGAAGCCTTGGCAGAGCAAACCCGGGATCCAATTGAACTACGTGTACAGGTCATGAACATCCTCCTCGCAGGTCGGGATACCACAGCATCTCTTCTTGGATTTACTATACTCAGACTAGCCCGAGATGCTAAATGCTACCGAAAGTTGCGTGAGATAATCCTGGAAGAATTCGGCACTTTCAATGAGCCGAAGAATATCACGTTTATGCATATCAAGAATTGTAAATATCTTCAGTGGATTTTGAACGAAACGTTAAGATTATATCCGCTAGTGCCATGGAACTTCAGAGTGGCGAATAAAGATACTACGTTGCCCCGTGGTGGTGGTAAGGATGGGAAGAGCAAGGTTTTTGTGAAAAAGGGTACGGTGGTGGAGTATAGTGTTTTTGCGTTGCATAGACGAAAGGAGCTTTGGGGTGAGGATGCGGATGAGTTTAAACCGGAGAGATGGGAGGGAAGAAAGGGGGGTTGGGAATATTTACCGGTATGTTCATTATGTCGCTTTTCTCACCATCTTTTACTTCCTCTCCCTCCATCTTCCACTCCTGAAGCGACTTTGAATTTGTCCGGACAATTAAGCACTCTATCAAGCTTGCAACATCTCTTTGATAGGGTTGATTCATCTTCAATCCTTCCTAAATCACATAACCTTCCTAATTTCTTAAATCCATCACAACCATGAGCCCACACTAACACAAGACTATAGTTTAATGGCGGCCCTCGCATCTGTCTAGGCCAGCAATATGCACTCACAGAAGCCGGTTTCTTTATCATCAGATTACTGCAGAAATTTGATCAGATGGAAAGCGTGGATACGACGGACGTCACGTTTAATTTGACGTTGACGATGTGTAGTGGGAATGGGGTTAAAATTAAGTTGCATGAGGCTGGGATGTGAAGGCGGGGCTGTTGTTACGAAGAAGAGTGGGGATATAAATATCAGCTGCACGGAAAGAAAGGCGAAAGTGTAGGTACATTGTTATATCAATTATTGATCTCACAATTGGAGGACTTTAATGGGGAGTTGAAACTTTGGCAGCCGTCTGTCAAATTTTGTAAAACCTAGAATATCTTTAGTTCAGCTGAGTGTAGGTTAATTTGTACACCATCTTATTATTTGACACATTATCAGCACATCTGCAAGCTGCCAGTATTTTGAATTCGAAGTACGTATTTCCTTATCTCAAACATTAAGTGAAGCAAACATACTCCAGTAATGATATAAAGCAAGTGACGCATTGAATTGATCTCATTTAACATGGTAATATGGAACCAATTTTTGATCATATTGCCCTTGCAGCAGTGCAACCAATTATACAGAATTTTACTCGCCTTGAAAATTGTCATTATATAGTACAATATATTCAGAGCACGACGACTCCGTCATTTTCATCATCTATATCTAATCGCCCATTTTAAGCACCCATTTTCTTAGCTGCATCAAAAGCATGGCCAAATGATGTCTTTTTATCAACCCGACCCGCTCCAGGCCCATCCAACAACTTTCTAGCTCTCAACTCAAACGCCTCAATCATCTTCGGTGCTACCTGGGGCGCAACCGCTTTACTCAACGCTGTGTATAACGGATTCGCAAACTGAAACTCGATAACCAGGTTCACCTCCGTTTGTTCTCTCGCATCATGTTCCGTCTTATCAGTTTGTGGTTGTCCGGTCGGTGGTTTGTAATGGAAAGGTTTCAATGACCAGCGCGTATTCAGACTTTGAAATATACTGTTGGCAGAAGCGGATTTATGATATGTTTCTGCATGATGGGGAACTTTGGATTCAGGAATCGAAGTTGCAGCATCCCCGCCGAGTGCTTCGACAATAGTGCCTGGAACGCAGAGAAGCTTGGAGGTAAAGGTTTCTTCAACGCCGGCCCAGCCGACGGTGAGATTTGCTTCAGCGGGCCATTTGTTGCCTGTGGAATCGGGCGCGGACCATTTTGTCACAACGGAGGAGGTGCAGTAGGGAACGAAGGTCGAGTAGCTGTCTACATCGGCGATTAGGCTGTAGAGGGACGAGGATTTATAGGGCAGAATTCGCTTTTCGGTCAGAATCTGCGGTTCGCTGCCGGGGAGGGTAATGAATGTTCGTTGGGTTGAGGGGGCAATTGTGCGAAAAGCGGATGTTGGACGTAGGGTGCGGAGCATGCCTCTTATTGGAGTCGACATTTTGAGGTGATGGTAATTGATATGGCTGCGGGGTAGAAGGAAAGCGATTGAGAGGATTGTGAATGGGTTGTTGATTTCAATTGAGGTTATATGATTTCGAACTTCATGCTTTGTCAATTGGCCACAAGAATTGAAGTAACCTGAAAAGTTGGGAGCTGATTTAGCTCTGGTAGTACTTGGGTTCTATGGCTTTGATGACTTCCAATTATCATAAGCGTCATTGAAAAATTCTGCCAGAATAAGTATTCACCGCCTTTCGCGATCTAGAATTGGAGCAATCCATGGATTCCAAGTCTTGCTTTCTTGTTTTTGGAGAGTAACTCGGAGAACTTGTACATTTTATTCAATTGGATTTTTAAATGTTTGCCTTCACATATCTCCCTTAATCATCACATTCTCTAACCATGACTTCTCTTTCTCCAACTTCGAATTCGTTCAATAATTCAATCGATAATGTAACAACGCAGAGTTACAGGATCGGATATACCATGCTGTGTGATACTGCCGTGTCGACTTATATTCCAGCACTTAGTTCCTGGACAACTTTCACTCCGGCAACATGTTCATACAATAGATCCCTCACTGCTGCTGCTTCTACAACTTCTTCATTGTCTATCACTGCCACAGGAATTACAACTCCATCGCCTCAAGAAACACCTTTTGATGATGTATCCACCGTCACTGAATTCAGTAGTACCATGTCCACTACGACCGTCACCGGTAGTCTGAGTACAAGTTCCCAAACGAGCAGTGCACCAAAAGAGACCTTTGGATTTGGAATGTCTGGCTTCGCGAGTCTGGCTTGGATGCTTTACTTCAGCTACAGATTCCTTCATCGATGAGTGAAAGGCGTGACAAATTCAATACCGGTGAAGGATTTCATATATCATCATCGACCATGACGTCAGCCGAGCGAAAACCAAATTCACGTTGAAGTCAACTGTTGAATGCACGGAAGGATATCGATCAAACAAGCAATGCATCGACGAGCGCATATAACTTCATTCTCGCATAACCTTTCAATATTTTTGAGGCTCTCGTCGTACCTTCCCGCCGAGCTCACGGGATATTCGGATTACTTTCTTCCATGGCATCACATGGTCTGATTGGAGCGGATAAACATGGGTAAATCATCGCGGGGTCAATGCCAGAGTGGGGTGATGTGACCGACCCATTCCACAGCTTGAAACTACACATCTCTTTTTCAATCCTTCAACTCAATTCTTCATTTTACAAAACACAAAGGATTGAAATTCGACAATTACCTGGTGTAATAATCCTCAGACACAATGGCAGATATTTCAGGAAAAAGCGTAAGAAATGCTAAATATCTCCCTCTGCCATCCAAAGCTTCTTTCTAACGTTCTTGTCTCTTGTAGAACAAATCATTCGTTCTCGAAAAGCCTTTCTCTGTCAAATTCGAAGAGAGACCAGTTCCCAAGCTCGAATCTGAACACGATGTCCTCATTGCCATAAACTATACCGGTATCTGTGGATCCGATGTTCATTACTGGGTTGAAGGCGCAATCGGTCCCTATGTTGTGAAAGATCCCATGATTCTTGGCCACGAGTCTGCTGGTACAATTGTTAGCGTTGGTTCCGCAGTGAAAACTTTGAAGGTTGGAGATCGTATTGCCCTTGAGCCTGGTTATCCATGTCGTCGTTGTCCAGCTTGTCTTTCGGGTCATTACAATCTGTGTCCCGAAATGCACTTTGCAGCTACCCCTCCTATCGATGGTACTCTTACAGGATTCTATTCTTCTCCAGCAGATTTCTGTTACAAACTTCCTGAACATGTATCGCTTCAAGAAGGTGCTTTACTTGAGCCTCTTGCTGTCGCAGTCCACATTTGCAAACAAGCCGTTATTACCCCAGGACAATCTGTCGTGGTAATGGGAGCAGGTCCCGTTGGTCTGTTATGTATGGCAGTTGCTCGTGCATACGGAGCATCCATCATCGTCGCAGCAGATATCCAACCTAGCCGTCTCGAATTCGCGAAATCATTTGCCGCTACCCACACTTTTACTCCTCAACGTGTCTCAGCTGCAGAGAACGCTGCAACACTGAAATCTGAAATTGGCCTCCCAGAAGGCGCAGATGTTGTTATAGATGCCAGTGGAGCAGAGCCTTCCATTCAAACCTCTATAAATGTCGTGCGTCGCGGAGGAACATATGTTCAAGGAGGAATGGGTAAAGCAGACATCAATTTCCCCATTATGGAATTGTGCACCAAGGAAATCACTGCAAAGGGAAGTTTCAGATATGGAAGTGGTGATTATACATTGGCTCTTCAATTAGTTAGTACAGGAAAGGTAGATGTCAAGAAGTTGATTACTGGCGAAGTGCAATTTGAGGATGCGGAAGAGGCATTCAAAAGTGTGAAGGAAGGAAAGGGGATCAAGGTCTTGATCAAGGGTCCCAATGAAAATTAAATGTTATGGATTGAGCATAGCGTAGGAGTCGGAGTACGAAGAGTGTAAGTGTTTTGGGAAATGAAGGAGCATGGACGATGTGGGGTCAGGATATCCCATCTGAAGTGCCGAAAATGAAAACAGGGGATCCTTGTTCTTGGAAAGTGTATCTATTGTATATTATTAAGTGAATGAATATATGTCCTCTGTACTAGTATGGTTGTTCATCTGAACTTCTCTTGAGCTGTGTTGTAATCACCTAGGGTGTTTGGATGGGATTTAGGTACAACCATCCGAAAACAATACTTCATGCTTCCAGTCTACGAGGGATGAATGACTTGTATGCATCTACTACCAAGAATTGAGATTTAACAGTTTGAAAAGACAGATCTTTGTATTTGTATTTAATCTATTTCATAAACGAATTCCCACCTTGCACCAATCCATCATAAAAATCCTCATATAATCATCACTGCGACCCTCGGAAACAATATCTATTCAACCTCTCAGCAGAAAAGAAGAAAGAAACATAGCAGAAGAAACCGGCTCTCCCCGAACCCCCTAAATCATCCCCAAATACCTGACTCCAATCTTCGTATCCGCCTTTGCACCCTTGACCCCCACTTTAACCATCTCACCGGGCACCACATCCACCAAATTATCCTCAAACACCACCTCTTCATCTTCACACTCTAGCGCTACCCCCTTCACCGGAACCTCGCTGGTAATTTCCACCGTCTTTGCATCTTCCGACAACTGAACCTGCAAATCCGTGGGTTTTTGCAAATGTACGTATTTTAGCGGTTCGGGCCAATTGATGTAGCGAGCGATGTGCACGCCGTCTTGGATGAGATAGGCGGCGACCACGGTGCGGGATTCTTCGTCTGCATTGGGGGTTTGAACGGGGACATCCAGGGCGATGATTTCAGTGGAGCGGTTTTCGGGTAGGAGGAGCGAGGAGGCAATGGTTTTGGAGTAGGTTTCTTGACCGGTGATGACGTCGAATGCTTTGACGAGGACGTCGGCTGTGATGTCTTCGAGTCCTAGGTTTGAGCCCCAGATTTCGATTTGGGTCTTCTTGGTGAGATGGGCACGGGTATATTTATCCTTGGGGGTGATGTGTTCTTTTCTCGTGATCCCTAGGGAAATCGGTGCCATTTCACGTTTGACGGTATAATAGGCATGTTTTGGACGGAGATAGTAGTCGACGATTGCCCAGGATGTTACGGGCCAGCAATCGTTGATTTGCCATACTAGAGCACCCCCACAGTATTCCCTACTAGGACCTTTCCATTGGCGTTTCCATAGTCGATAGGCGCTAGCTAGACACTCGGCTTGCATGAGTTGAGTGGAATAGATGAATTGCTCGAGGGGGTCAGGAGCGTAGCGGAAATTTTCGACAAGATAAAGAGCGATACGGCGCTCGTGACCGTCGGCTTTGTTGTGGAAATCGACGGTGGAGGATTGGGCGAAACGGTCCGGATCGTCTTTGCCGAGTGGAAGGAATGCTTCTATAGTTTTGATGTTTGGGAATGCTTCCATGCCAAATTCTGAGACAAAGCGTCCAACAAGTTTGTCGAAGTTTTGATACTTCTCTTGAGAACCGTGCCATACATTCCACTGATGCAAATCACCAACGGTAGGATCAGTGGTTTTCTTTCCACCCCATGGACTACCATAGTGATAGTATGTATCTGGAATTAGTTCGGTGCAAGCATCTACTAGAATCTTCTCATATATGTATCTTGCTGGAAAATTAGTCTTCAACCAACTCTCGGAATCCTTGTTGTCAAAGTCGTAAGTGAGACCTTCCGATTCTTGATATTGGTAATCTTCATTGTTACCAGCCCAGATAACGATGGATGGATGGTGTCGAAGAAGTTTTACATTCTCCTCGGCTTCTCTCTTCACGGAAGTGAGAAAGTCTGGGAAAGCAGGATAGTTTCCACAACCGAACATGAAATCTTGCCATACCAGAATGCCTAATTCATCGCAAGCATCATAAAAGGCTTGCTCCTCAAATATCCCACCTCCCCAAACTCGAATCATGAACTGATTTCCGTCTGCTACCAGCTTAACCCAATCATAATACTTTTCTTTGCTGATGCGGGGAATGAAGTTGTCGGCTGGAATCCAGTCACTGCCGCCGCAGAATATTGGAATGTTGTTGATTCTGAAAAAGAACGATGTTCCTGGCTGGTCTTTCAACGGGTCCTGCACTAGCTCTGCTCTACGCAAGCCAAACTTCTTACTTTGCGTTGATATACTATTATCGTTGTGAATTAAAGTTGCCGTAAGATCATACAATGGCTGTTTACCATATCTGATCGGAAACCATAATGCAGGATCTTTGATAGTAAAGGCGTGGGTAGCATGTCCTTTAGAAGAGGTAACTGTCTTACTTGCAACAAGCTCGCCGTCCAAAGTAATATCGAACTTAACTTGCGATGCTTCACCCTGAACATCAGCCTTCGCAACGAGTTCCGCAGTTTTCAAGGATTTATCCACATTGCTTGTGAAATAGACGTCCGAGATGCGGGATGTGAAAATTTCAAGGTTTATTGGTCGCCATGGCCCACAAGTCATAAGGGTTGGCCCCCAGTCCCATCCCTATATGAGGTCAAATGTCAGTGATTTCTAATTCTTCTCCACGCAAGAAGACATTTACATACCCAGTGATATTGTGCTTTCCGAACAGCAAGTCTAGAAGTATCTCCGTTCCAACAGCCCCAGTGATGGTCCGGATATTTCTCCACTATGGCACATCCTTTGAGATATGCGCTCTCGAACATGATTTCTAGTTCATTTTCTCCTTCATCTTTTAGGTGAGATGTGATGTCAATTCGTTCTGGTATGAACATATTATCTGTCTTGAGAATCTCCTTTCCATTCAGCAGAACGGTGGCATAAGTATCTAACCCATCAAATGCGAGGACTGCTTTAGTACCAGATTTGTCTTCTGATGATATCGTGGGCGATGAAAATGTTGTTCTGTATATCCAGACAGTCTCACCAATCCATTGGACGTCGTTTTCGTTCTTTCCCATGAAAGGATCTTCTATGATGCCATTGGCAATGAGATCCAAATGAACATTTGTGGGAAATTGTGCGACAGGGAGAAATTTAGAATCTTCATTGTCCGCCTGTTTGAAGGTCCAATTCTTATCGATTGGAATTATGGTATGCTCAGGCATATTGGGTGAAGTCGATGTAGATGCAGTTTGATACGAATTGATATTTGAAAAAGTATGGTCTGTACGCATTGTTGGGAGGGAGCATAAGTATCCTCTAGAGGAGTTGGCATGCGGGTGAAATGATCTACCAGCAACAACAAAGGAATAAGACTCTTCTTATATCTGAGCCTTGATTAGTTCTCCGACTTAAGTAACAAGTAGCAAGTTCAAGAAGTATTGTAAATTCATGGATCCCATATGTGAGGTTTCGGAGCTCCAAAATGGGATTACTACGTGCGGGGTCTTCATCCCGCGTTTGACAAAGATTGGGTATTAAGTTGTCTTCTAGGATAAGAAGGAAGGGATGATAGCTCTTGCGGCCAATACTGCCCAATCTGATTGGTCGTTTGCACACTTTTGCAACATCTTCGCAGAACTAGGGACACTCGGCAATCCATTTATTCTGCATGTACGGAGTAGAAACGAGGAGTTGTGATCATACAGTACCTACCTAGGTAATGTGTTGGATTGATGATTGGTAATTAAGTTGACGAATCAAGGAAGACATTCGGATCATCTTCGGAACATTACCTCGGAAGGAGCAAAACAACTTGGAAGGCCGAGCATCAGAACATCCGTACAATCTGGTCATGTGAAACATACTGTAGTCGAAGATCTGTAATATCACAAGTTGCTGGCAGATTTCTTGATGTCGCTGTCGCACAGCCAAAAAGGTATGGACTGTGACAAGCACCCTGGTAGGCCTTTCCAAGGACAGCTTTCCGGCATATTGTAACATCAGACCCCAAGCATTAAATCGCCGTACCTGCAGAACGACGTCGAACTTTTCAAAAAGCTTTGGAAATTGTAATGTTGATTGGCGATAGTATCAAGAGCACATGGCAGACTCAAGAGTCTGCTAGTATAACCTCGTTTGACAAGCCATCCATCTACTTTACCCGTTTTGCTTTCTGGCTCCTGATGTGATGTAGTGAAATATCCCAACCTCAAAGTTTATACTGTAGAGGCTTTTTTCACGTCCCAATATATCTTGTTACATCCCATTTTCTCACACCAATCGTCCAAATATGATTCTATCGGACAGTTTCGGCAAAGTACCCATGCAACAGGACTCGTCGGCTGTCCAAAAGAAGGTTTCGGAAGCAGTCCCTCCGCATTTTGTATAGGAAGAAAACCTCTGCAACAGCTCAAAGTGGTGATGATGATAAATGCACGTCACAAGTATGGGCAAGAGTTTTGTCCAGGTAGCTCAGATTTGCCGATGCCCCTTAAATTTAATTAAATTCAAGGGTTTGAAAACGACCCTATTCCCCGACTCGTGACAGTGCCTATCTATATCTACCGCAACCGGCGTACTACGGAGTATATATATGCGCGACATGCAATGAGGTCTCATTCATTATCAAACATGTTAAAACCCGACGGATCTATGTACCGCTGCCGCATCGATGGAACCATATATCTTGCATTCACATGTTGGCAAAACAGGTTCATTGTTGCACAAGTTTTACTGCGCATGCATGACATGAAGATTGCCATTTTCATAGAACACTTTCAACGGCAATTACAAAATTTTCCCTGACTATAACAGTGCCCTTCTATTTTCTGTATCTTTTTCTTTTGCCAGTTCTTAGCCTGAAGTCGTCGGATCCATCATAAGTTAGTCCCCGAAGTTTCGGGCCTAGTTTATCAAACAATATCCACTCATATTTTAAACGGGAGAAATTACTTCGTTTACATGCAATGTCTCCTCAATATTCTGTCCTGTAAACTTTATCCGGCAAAGATCTTTCCTAAATGACTGTACGACATCGTTTAGGGCAACCGATGTCACCAGTGTCTGAGGCTACGGCGGATGCCATGCAACATTGTTTAATACAGGAATATGTACGATATATCTTGAATATCTCGCCTCAGAGCCTCTAGACTAGGCAAAATGCTTATTTTCTTGCCATTCTGAGGTAACATACGATTATCTATTACTTCTAGGTGGTATATTTGCTCTCTATCAACCGAGAATAATGCTCATGTGGCCTCGATGCTACCATTCACAGGAGGGTAGTAAGGATAGACCGGAAACTTGTCAAAACCCCCGCAATATTCTGTCTCATGCTCTGAGAGAAACAAAACTATATCCTTTTCCCACCAATTCCCTCGATCCATATGGTATTTCACGGCTTGGCGACGACCATTCTTCATGGATGAAAGACTCTTGGCTCAATATATAATGCAGCTTTCATTCCTTCTGGCTCTTAAGAATAAGGAAAACGACCAGCCTCGCTCAATCTCAAGAACCTTACTATCGAAGCCAAAACTCGAGTTGATGAGTCAAGATCCGACACTCAATAAGCAGTGAAGCTAACAATTTTAAACGGTCTTCCATGTGATACAGTAAATTCCACTATAGATCTAATCCCACTTTCAGTAAATATAATCAAAGAAGAGCTGTCCTTCCACCCTTCTTCAAAGGTCTCTCACTGTGTTGACTAATCATCATTGACCAAGAATATGAGATACGCCGTGCTTATACCAACCTGTTTGATTCTCCAAATAAACCCCTTGAAGCTAACACCCTGTTAGCAGGTGAACGTATCGATTTGCTTCTCTCTTGCTCCAACGAAAATTATCATCGATTATAATACTCAAAAAACTTACCAGTAATGAGCAAGCATTCTAGATATATTGATATTTCCAATCGGTCGAACTCAAGATGAACTAACCTTGGAACTTGAGTTTAGTTCCTTGGGTATACTATCTATTTCGGCGCTGATACATATTCACTTATCGAGAACGTAGCAAAGATAAGGTATAGGCTAAATGATATTCACCAATTCTTTTACTTGTTCTCCACAAGACCTCGATATGATATGACTGTGATAATATTTTACCAATTTCTCTGGACGTGGGTCTGTTGAATCAATCAATTGTCTGAGTACACTGATCACAATCTGCAGATGATGAATCTTCATGAGACATGGTTTTCAATTATAACTAATCTTCAATTCTTAAAAGAATGAAGAGAGTCTTCCACCAAACTTATTACCAAGCAACAAACCAACCACCTACATGTCTTGTGTCTGCGTTGGATATCGGCCTCTTCTAGGAATATCCCTTTCATACCGGGCATTCTCGTTGCTCAACTAACATTGACAGGGTATCTCATCTTCGCTCTCTGACTCCGAAGAAGGATAGACATAACTATCGTCATCACTGTCGAGGCCACGAGAAGCACAACACGTTACACAGAGACAAACGCAGTCATCCGCATCCGCAGGAATCTTAGGCGTCGCTAGCTCACTAGCACTATAGGTCGCCACGGTGAACGTGGATTCCTCGTTTCCAACTGCAGGACCATTCTTCCATGGATTCGTTATTATCCCACAAGCGAGGTATTCGGTGCCGGTGTTGGGATGAATCGGACAGTGACAGAGGTCTTCACTCTCATCTTCCTCGCTACTCTCGTCGCAATTAGGACAATACACCTCCCGGAATTCGGGGATTTCCTCGTCAGAATCCACATAACCATTAAATTCCAGCCAAAGTTCGTCTCTTTTTTCCTGCATCGCAACAAGAGCTGTCATCAAGTTCAAATCTAACATGCAAAGATTCTCGATTTTAGAATGATAAATGTTGCTTTTGTCGACGCAGATTTCAGGCTAGATGCTTAGATATTCATCGAGAATTGGGGACATAGTACGTATCTTATATTTGTTGTATGGAAAGACCATGCGGCGGAGAACTTCAAGGGTAGCTTCTATAAAAACATCTGATTTTTTGGGATCGTCAAGATCTAGGAATGGGAATTGAGGAGGATCTGCATTAGAGTTTTGATCCTTGGAATCTAATGCGCTTTCTTCCATGACTATGACTGGAAGTGTGTCGCCCGGGGTTGCGTCTCTGGGGCTCGGTTGGGTTTCCGCGGCGGGTTCTTCGCTGAAAATTGTCAAGAGCTTGGATGTATTTCCGTACGGAGGTTGAAAGTGACGACAATGATCAGAGTAACGAATTTTGGCGTGGAAGAGGGCAAGTATATGTATTTACGAACAGAAGTTTACAAACTTCTGCTAAACACTAAGCATTCTCTAGATGCGTCTCGATATGACCAGCCAGCAGAAAATGATCCCGTAGAAGGTAGTTTTGACTTCCACCATCTCGTTTTGGATCATTGAAACACCCCCTACAACCTCAAACCTACGAGACGTGCATGGAATAGAATCAATTATCAGGAAACGAAACAAGCAATTCCTATAAAAGGGCTCAGAGAGAGATCACGTGGAACGGTTGGTCTCAAGATCGCATTGATCTAAGTCGGATACCCCACTTTCGGGCCACCCCTCTTTTGGGCCATCTTAAAAAAGTTCACCGCAAGAAAAGATCTTTCTTATTTATTCTTTAATAACTTTATAATGCTTGAATCAATTGATTTAAAATTTTGATATATCATTATTTACATTATGTTTAAGATATATACTGAAGTTGATATTAATTCAATCTTATATGTGGTAGTGAATAGATATTCAATCCAACAAGCTGCTTCGGATTATAGGATTCCGAGGGTTATTCTTTAAAACCGTATAAATGGTTATTTATTTCATAAAAAAGGGGCGCAATATATACAAAAGATAGCTTTGATACAAAAGAAACGATTAATAAATTGGATATTAGTTTAAGAGTCTTTGGGTATTAGTCTTATATATTAGCAAATTCAGGAAATTGGAAAGTACCTTTTTGATATTAGAGGAAGTGATTTTATATTTGGGAAACAATGGATTACAAACTTTCTTTGAAGGAATTTAGAGATTAGAACTAAAAGACAAGTTAGGATCGATTCAGTACATATCAAAGATGTAATTATCAATACTATTAGTCAATAATTCCCAAAATTGGATTTGCTCTCAATTTGTTATATTAAGCCTCAATACTAGTATAATATAAATAAAGCAAGCATACAAGAAGGCTAGGGACTAAATGAACTAATTCTAAAAAGCTTAAAACATCGTTTTATTCAGAAAAAGGAGTTTAGTTCTAAAGTTTGGATATCATTTATAGAATACATCTCAACTATGGGAAAAGCTCTTGATCCCCTTATTATATTGAAGGGAAAATCAGTATAACAACAATGATTTCCGATTGATTTAAAGTTCTATAAAGGGTGGCATTTTATTGCTACAGATAATAGATAAACTACAAATGATACTATCCTAGAATGGCTTAAAAAGGTCTTTATACCTTAGACAGCCCCTTCCTTACCGAATAAGCTAAGACTTCTTATATTGAATGGGTATGGAAGTTATGAAACTACTGAATTTATGTATAAATGCTTTAAGCACAATATATATCTCTTATTCCTTCCACTACATACATTACACATCCTATAATCTCTTGATTTATCTGTATTCTCACCTCTCAAAAGAGTATACAGGTATTACCTCAATAAATTAGCCTCTTTATCGGATTCTGGAGTAGTTGGAAAGACTAATTTCCTTATATACTATTAGAAAGTATGATTAGATAATTTAATAGAATATAATATACTATCTGGATAGAAAGCTTTAGGTTTATAGCTTCTAAATTACACTAAGCCTATTATATCCAGATTGTTATTTAAGAATAGTAATAAAAAAGTTACAAATCAGAATTTATATTTTGATAATAATCCTATACATCAATAGAATAGAGAGTTTGTAATTTCAACTTTTAAAATGCTTCGAAAAGCTAGTGATTTAAGATTATATTTGTATATGTTTTTTTGAAACGAAAAAACCAATCTTTATACTTGCTATTAGCTTTTTAGAAAAATTATTAAAAGATTTGATATTAAGGATTATGAAATTCTATAATCTGAGTATCGAATAAAGTAATTGGAATATCAATTGAAGTAAATTGTTTCTAAAAAGAAATATAAGATAAAAACTAATCCAAATTCAAAATTTTCTAAGATTAAAGAAATTAGGGAGATGCAAATTACAATAAGAGATTGTGAAATTGATATGAAAGATGTTAATAATGATAATGAAAATATAGCCTCAAGTATTTATTATAATGTCAAGTAGTTGTTGAATAAATAATGTTTTAAAACTATATAATATGAATTTTTAAGGTGGCCCAAAAGAGAGGTGGCCCGAAAGTGGGGTATCCGACTTAACTGTTCGCTCCACACTTATCATGAAATTTGCAACTCCGCTACAACAGAGGCGTCATTCATGATAGTTTTCAAGAAGCTCACTGTGCTATCTGCGCGAATTTGGATGCCATTTTTTAAACTTTAAACAAAAACATACATGAATGCATTCTTCAGGGTAGAGATACCGATGTGAATAATGTTTCAGATGCCGCAAGAAGATCGTTGTGCCGATATGCCGGAAACATTTGTACTTAGCTGGACTATATGATCAAATGCTCATTATGATAATAGTGTGATACAGTTTTTTGATGCTCTTTGACGATGGAGGGAGCGTTTCGTTCCCTTCCCCTAGTGAAGGAAAAAAAATGATGAGAAAAAAGTAGAAAATGAAAGGAAACGCATTCTGGAACAATATATACAGTACATACTATAATATAGTTTAGTCGCATACTGAATCAGATTGTATATTTGTATTGCGCAATGTAGTCCTATATAGAGTATTAGTGCTGTACAATTACATCATTTTGAGGCTCTTGATATCAGAGGAGAGAGGGCTATCCCGCAACTTTCTCCTGGCGAATCAAAGAGGTAATGAATAAAAGAAGAGAAGAGAAAGAGAGAGGGGAGATGATGCTACAGATATGCTGTAAATCAACGTATGCGACGCGCATTAGAATGGCCCAAAAGCGTCAGTCTTTGTGCTCACATACTCTATACCCTATTGCGTGAAGGAAGTGATTGACTGACCCAAATATCGTAGGTAGACTCTGAGTATTCAAGTACCTTGATTGTCCGATTCATTGTGGAAAATGAAATGATGTGTGTTCGACACTTCGAAGTGACCGGATTCCCCATCTTTGACCGAACTTGGTCTAGAGATCCAATAAGGACCTTGCCAAACCAACAATATCATTCAATAATCAATCCGTAAACGTAATATTTCGACCCACACGAAATTGAGTTATTTCCGACGTTGTGGTTTGATTTGGATTCTATCCATGTAGGTATGCTTCCCCTGCTTATCATCCTGATAGACATATTGAATCTAGTTCAGTTTCAGGGATTCTTAATTCATGGATGCCATGCGACAAAATGGGGTCGATTAAGAACAAACTGTTGTCCAAAATCTCCGCTGTGATAGGATTTGACAGTCTTTACGAGTGTAATTGCGAGCTCAAGCCCAAGTGCAAGTGCAACTTCGTATCTACTTTCCATTGACTGAGAATGAAGTATCCTTCAGAAAGAGATTGAAAGATTGAGTCAAGTTCAGAGACCGCTGTACTTCCCGAAAAGCTGATGTTGTCGAAGTTTTCGGTCCTTGGTCTCGAGAAAGATTGGAGAGTCCGTTAATCCCTCACTTGGCACATGATAATATGAGGTCACACATCTAAGCGGTGATAAGGCCGATTGGATAAGTAAATGCAAAGGCAAGGGCAAGAAACAAGGGTTGATGACTTGGATGCATCTGGCATCCAAGTGTTTGTTCCGCTACTGCGAGTAACGAGAGTGAGCTCATGTAGGTTAATGTAACTACCTCGAGACTACCTACCTAGGCAAGAGGTAGCTGATGGGCTGAAATGCGTACCGCGGAATGAGAAAAAGAATTGATCACGTGTCAGAGTAAGATTTGTCGAATAACCATGAGCTCACGTTCCCTCCAATCACGAATCTTCAATTTTCACAACGATGCCATTCACGGACATGAACCTTTGTTACATGAAACCCATCAATATTCGAGACCCAGCAAAAGATGCCTGCCTGTACTCGTCGCCTGCTTCTGTGCCACCGGAGGATTCTGTCGTTAGGTTAGGCAGAAGTCAATATCACAGATAGCACGCTGCTGATTGTATCGTTTGCTTCCATTCGTTGATTCGGTCCCATCACTATCTTCTCATTAGATTATTAGAGATACCACAGGCCGCGATTAGCCATTCAAGCCATCATGTAGGTGTGAGTATCGATGTCCTCAATATTCTCGATACTCTATCACTATCAAGTTCAAATCAGATACAGTCAGATCTTAGAGGCCGCTCTTGCCTGACTTTTGCTGCATCGAAATGCTCGGTGCTTACAGCGTTGCACTCATGAATTGTCATGGTAAGTCATTGCGACATGCCAAGCACATGCGATCGGTAGTCGGAAGTTAGGACAAGCTTTTCCAAGCCTTTTCTACAAGTTACAGATAACTGTTTGGCTGGCGCGCAGAAAAGAACGAAACATAAGATGACCAGGTCGAAGGAAGGGTAACTGGTGATATCAGCATTCAGTTTGATGAGACTTATCTCCTGTTAGAAGCCACCGCCTTGAATAGGAAGGTGTGCATGCCGCCATGCTTTGACCCCGGAAAGTATTATCAACATGATAAACTATTGGCTACTTTCCGAAGCTTTCAAACTTTATTTACGAAATTGTGTCAAATCATCAAGGTTTGGCGAACTTCATCAATCATTCTAGAAAGCGAGTCATCCAATAGTAATTCATCGCGATCGCAATTCTTGGCCTCTCTTCAAACCCTTGAGTATTATGGTCCTTATCGTTGGTGGAATACTTACTGGTTGCATCGAATGCAGTAATAATATAGTTGATACTTGTCTGCATGATCATCATGTTAGCGACTTGAAGAAGGTGTGAACGAAACGCCACTTCTACCCCTCCCATGCATGTTTTTCGATTGAGTTATTTGATATTTATATACTCTCTCTTCCCGTCACAATGAGCTATTTCATGTTCATTCATTATTTTTATTTTACAGCAAGCCTTGGAGACTATCCCCTTGACTTGATCTTCCCATATATTGCCCAGCATGACTACACCCATGGCAAATCTCGCCTTGGAAGGTGGTGATCCGCGAGATCCTCATCATCCCGTAACAGGTGATGCGAAGGCCACGGAACTGGCGTTGCCTTCAATACACGACCCCAGTATTACTTTTGAAGAATATGTATACTGGGCCGAAATCACTCGTGCTGAGGAGAAAATTGCAAATGAGAAGTTTGTTGCGGCTCAAGGACCGAGAAGTTTGAAATCCACGATCACAAATCGATTCTCCAAGGGAAAGGGCGCAAAAGATTCATTTGACACCCCACCCACAACAACCTTAGCTTCAAATGAAAAGGACGGTCTCGACGAGAAGTCTGTTGTTCCCGGTAGATCAGTACAATCCGCTGTCTCAGAGACTGAGTGGAAGACCGCGAGTCGTGCTGTCCGTACCGCTGGTTGGTCAGGTGTCTTTTATCTCATCACAACTGATATTCTTGGACCTTTCAGTGTTCCTTGGGCCTTTGCTCAAATGGGCTGTAAGTAGATCAAATATTCAAACATCAAGAACAGTACTAACACAACTACAGACGGACCGGGAATTGCTCTCTACACTGTATTCGGAGGATTTGCTTTATATTCCGGCTGGCAAATTTTCAATATCTTTCTTGCCCTTGACTCGGATAAATATCCTGCAAAGTCGTTTGCTGACCTATTCTTCCGTGTTTTTGGTACTTGGGCTCGTCATGGTATCAATGTCGCCCAGTGTGTCCAACTGCTATTCACTGTATCTATCCTTATTCTCTCCAACGGTCAATCCATTTCACAAATCGCCAAAGGAAATCTATGCTTTATTGTTTGTCTGATAGTTTTCATGGCTGCTGGTATGATCTTAGGACAAATTCGTACGCTTCAAAGATTCGGCTGGCTCGCAAACTTCGCAGTTTGGATCAACGTCCTGATCATTTTCATCTGTATGGGTGTCGTAGCCAACTCGCCTCCTAATTATGCTACAGTTCAAGCTAGCTTCGGAGATACGTTCACGGGACCTGTCAAAAAATTTGGCGGTATTCCCCCAAGTGGCGAAGCAACCGGAGGCGACGGGTTTACGGGCTCTCTTAATGGATTGAATCAAGCTGTCTACTCATACGGTGGTGCTATGCTATTCGTTGCTTTCCTCGCCGAAATGCGTCATCCCATGGATTTCTGGAAGGGTCTTATCTGTGCTGATCTATTCATCTACTTTGTGTACATGTTCTTTGGTATCTTCGTTTATTCTTACCAAGGTCAATATTCGTACAATCCTGTCATCCAAGGTCTCTCGCCCTACAACTGGCAAACCGCAGCAAACATCATGAATCTGATCACTGGTCTCATTGCCGCCGTACTCTACGGTAACATTGGTATTAAAGTGGCATACATTGAAGTTTTCCAAGGTCTTCTCAAGGCACCACCTTTGACCACAAAATTTGGTAAAATTCTCTGGATTGCAATGGTGCCTCTATACTGGGTAATCGCTTTCGTTGTCTGCGCTGCAATCCCTCAATTCTCTTACATTTCTGGTCTCGTGGGTGCGCTATTTATCCTCCAATTCACATACACATTTCCCGCTATTCTCGGGTTTGGATATCAGATCCAAAAAGATGCTATGCTTCCAGGAGAAGAGTCATTTGATCCTTCAACTGGAACGTATAACTATATTGATAGAGGTGTCAAGAGATGGATTAGAGGATTCAAGGTCAATTGGTTGTTCAACATCTTCAACCTCATTTACTTCCTTGGGGCTTTGACAACCGCGGCGTTAGGTATATATACTAGTTGTCTTGGCTTGATGAGTGCTTTTGATGGGGCTAGTGCCGCAACTAGTTTTGGTTGCACGCCACCTGTTTAGATGCGTGGAATCTATGATTAAAGAATAGAGTCGGTGGTTGGAGTTGCGCGGGTGGATTACCATGAAGCGGGAAAGGATGGTGGAATCAAGACGTGTGACGCCGAAGTGCGGAAAGGAGATTTAAAGTGTCTTTGAGAGGCATTGAGTCATGTTCATGTTGCAAAAGCAATTCTTCGGAGACAAATGATGTTGGTCGTATGAAGATCTAGTGGAGCTAGGTACTATTGTTTAGTCCTACCATCACATTTTAATATTAATTTTGCTGTATGATAATTCAGCGCAGTATGTTTGAATTCATCTCAGCATTCTGATTTATTTCAATGTTCAACTACAGGTCAACATTCCAATTCATCTCAGTATACCAATGCATTTCAATGTTCGAATCCAGTTCAATATTCTAGTCCAGCTCAATATTTGAATTCGTTTCAATGTCTGAGTTTATTTCTACAATCTAATTCATTTCAGCATTCGAATTCAATATTAGTGTTTTATTCCATTTTAAAATTCAAACTCATTCCAGTATTTGAAGTCTTTTCAATTTCTTGAAAATCAAGAAGTTTCGATTCAATCTACGAGAGATTTGATCATACACCATTCAACTCGATCGAAATTTACCCTCTGCTTGTGATTATTCAAGAGTATGGTGAGTGGTTCCATGAGATGTGCATCATGAGTATCATGGTAATGCCACCATTGTATCTTTACCTAGGTAGCTAGGGTAGACAATACTTCTGTTCAAAGCCTCCTTCAGAGTCCTTCTACACTCCCACTCCCACTTTGTTATCCACTTTTTTATCCCCATCCTTAAGGGAGGCTACTCCACTTCTTCTCACTAAATAGAAACTAAATTTCCCCGTCAAAGTCCCACTATTTGGATGATCTACTCCACATTGCAAACCTTATGTTCACTGTTCACTGTTCACTGTTCACCATTCCCATCTTCAGACTCCAAACTTCAGACTCCAAACTTCAGACTTCAAACCGCAGTATCACTACATAGTCGAGCATGCAAGTAAGAGAGGAGCGAGTGGGGAAATAGAGTGAGGTACGAGATGATGTTAATGACTAGTTTATTTATAATATGGTATTGTTCTGGGGGAAGGAGATGAGGGAGGACATTCAGAAATGGAAGAGATTATTTATTACACATGAAAACTATAAACAAGAAGCAAACTGGATTATAGACTGATAATTGTAAGCTCAAAAAGCATCAAAGATGAGTCTTAGTATATACAAATCACATGACGAAATATTGACGAATCCGGCTTAGTGGATTATTCGAGAATCAACACATTATATCGATATCTTCGTCCACGAGATTTCCTTTCCTCCTTAGGCGTTACCAAAATTCAACTTTCTCACTTCCCTCCTCTTCGTTTTATTATTATTATCTCTATTCTTATCATGTCCATCTTTCAATCAATCGCTATTGTATTTACTGACCGAGTCTACGGTAGAATCGTAGTTAATAGTGAAAAGCCCCAAACTATTTAGGGGAACTATCACGCACGCCTCCTACAATGGTTCTACAATTATGAGGCAGTAATTTTATACATAGCAACGAGTTCACTTTCATTCGAATATGTTTGAACTCACTCATCATGATTCTCAAGCTCTCAGCTTTGCTAGTATTTTGAAAGTCACTTTTGGCGTGCCTTTAAAATCAAATATCCTATCTGGAGCTTCCCTAGTTCCTTGTTCTGATTTGAATCAAAAATAAAACACAGTCGTCGCCTTGCTTTCTCCCCACAAACTTCTCACAAAGTTCACAAAATTCAAGTTCGACACACTTGATTTCTTCTCATCCATTACCTCCACAATTAAAAGAGCTGCTATCTGCATCTTCTTCTTGATTTGGCAATCAAAAATGTCGTATTCTACCGAGGCGCGCTTCGATGCCGTCAATGTACAAGGCCCTGGCGTAATTGACGATGAAATCAGTGAGCCGATTGAGATCGAGAATTCCGTTCACGTCGAGATTCTTACTAAGAAAGAAGAACTTACCGAACGCGTAGTTGCCGCCGAGAACGAAGAACCCATCGAAAAAAAGGAAGTAGTTGCCATTAAGCCCGGGGAGCCTAAAGAGAAGGTCCGAATCGATCCAATTACGCAAATATTTACTGAGATTGTAGTATGGAGTAAGTCAATAATCCTTTCTTTTCAACATTCATTTTCTTTTTGCAAAACTCATGCTGACAATGTTTCGATCTAGCTATGTACAATGAGATGGCCGTCGGCGATCTTGCTCGGTGTAATCTCAAGGGATACGACGCGCTAGGCTCTGCGTCACAAACTCTGCAATTGCGAGTTGGTGAACCAAGCGTTCTCTCAAGCCGTAAGTTTCCTCATTGAAATTATTTTGATTTTGCTGACTTATAATTTTTTAGTCGTGTTCCTCCAAAATGTCGATACCTCGAAGAACCCAGGTAGTCCTGGTTTTACACTTCGTACATCCATTCCGATGACGGCAATCAAAGGATACAACTTCAGAGTTGCAGACAAGAAAAATATGTCTGACGCCATGGCCAAGGCTTTACCAAATGACTGGCACTACAAAGGCTACGGCGTCGTCTCATTCGAGGCTGAATACGTTCATCTGAGCGCGTTCGCAGACGAAATTCCTGTAACTCTGGTTCCCAATGCTGCAGAAGAGCTCAAGAATTATGTGAGACGCGTTCAATCTGCTACCAACACACCTCTTCATTACTTCGAGTTCATTGTCAGATCCAAGTATGTTAGGGACATGCACTTTCTGAAGCGTGTGCATGCTGCGTGGGAGAGAGACAACGAGTCAAATCCGTACCACAAATGGATCAGAAACAGTCCTCACCATCATCAGTTGGGACTTGGAAATCTGTTTGCTCCTGGTGACCGACCACCTTTCACAAAAGCCGGCTTGGTTTTGTCACAAGATGATTTCTGGCAGTCAAAGCTTCAATACCAAGTGCATTTGACTTATGCTCAAACCATTGAGAATGCTTTCGAAGTCGCAACTGTGGCTGCTTGGCAGAATGCAATCCTCAATGCATCTATCACCGACGTACCCGGCTCTTGCAATCTCAAAGACAACGAGAATGATAATGACTTGCCGAAGTTGTACTCATTGACCATGACAATTCAAAACATGGAGGTCGATATGCCGAGCATTGGTGAATTATATAATATCACACTTTTAGACTTCAAGCCACCACCATGTCCTGATGCCGACGTTGAAGTTGATGACGAATCTGGTGATGAGGACATCGATTCGGAAGACGATTGTGGCGACTACTCTAAGCCTAGGAAATCCAACAAGGAAAATCATGCTGAGAACAAAGAGAATCGTGAAGAAATGGCAGAAGAGCAAGCAAGAGTATGGCGTGGACAAGTTGTCTCAGTTTTCGATGGGTTGGTTGAGATTATCATCACCAGACCTTCCGATCCTAGATGGAAGGGATCAAAGAGCTTGAAGCCACGAGTCAATACCGTAATTCCAACACACAGTCATCGCTTCGGATATGCATCTCGTTACAAGGAAGAACTCGAATCTGCAGCCAAGCATCGAGTAAAGATGGTACCTCAGCTATCGTCCAGGGTTTACAAGGACTGTAAGTTTTCCCTTGTTGAATCTGGAAAATCACACTGATGAATTAATTGTAGTAATCAACGGCATTCAAGCATTCTGTACTGTTGAGCACACACCTGAACTTATCTCCAGCGAAGTTCATGCACATTTGTGTGAAGTGTTAGTAACTAGACGACGCAGAACTCCTTTTCATGGGAAGAAGTTGAAACGAGACATCTTTGGACCGAATTACAAAGACTTTCTTACCCACATGAGTAGTGCTCAAAAAGCCGCTTTTGATAAGCTTGAGATCGTGGATGGATTGGTCGTTATCAACGGATTTATTGCATCTGGTAAAACTATGTCTGCAGTATGTGTTTCGGTTTGCGCCGTCAATAACACTAGCTCCCAACGAAAGCAATGTGTATTGGCAATCTCTGAGACAAACAGCGCAGTCGATTCATTGGCTCAAGAGTTTTATCAATTTATTTCAAATCCCAAAGAACCAAGTGAAGGTCGACAACATTTAATTATTCGTTTGCTTCCCCTAGAAGGAGAAATGAATACTGTCAAGACACGCTTGATACCCAAGCAAAATAATATCAACTTCTTGGCAGACGACGCACTGTTTGCTGGATTTCTTGGTGAAGTCGAAGCAAATCTTTACGGATATGGTCAAACAGTTGAAGCTGCTCGCATTCAAGGGGATAAGCGAAAGACAGCGAAGATAAAGACGTTGAATTTGACCCTTGAACAAGCCATGTGGAGAGAGCTCATCAACAGCGTGAATGACGGAGATACAGACTCCAACAAACTTCTGTTACTCTTACGTCGAATTCATCAATCAAAGCTTGAGTTCAAGGAGAAGGCTACCCTGAAAGATCTGCTTCAACGCTTGTGTTTATTGACTATCAGCAAGGCTGATGTTATTGTCTGCACTATCGCAATGGCTATCAGACCCGATATTGCCAAAATTCTGGGAAAGCAAGTAACACATATCTTGATGGGTGACGGTGGGAAGACTGGATCCAGTTACCTCATTGCAATCGTAGCAAAATATCCGAAACTTGACTTTTTGATAGTCGAGGGCGACAAATGTCAACAGACACCATATACCAGAACCCACTTGAATCCTGAATTCCCCAACCCATTCTCCCGCGTCCTCAAAGAATCCGCCTTGGGAATTGCCATGCAACTAACTTCACATGATGCTTGCTTAGTCCATCAGAGACGTATGTGGACCCAAGATATTTGTGTCTTCTTATCTGGGCACTATTATGCAGGAAAGCTCAGAGATGGCAATGAGAAGAAGAAGAAGCCTGTTGAGTTTATGCTTTGCCATGAATTCATAAATGACACTCTGAAGGTCCAAACCAACGGTAATTTTGTCATGTTTCACATGGAGAGTCGAGATACTATTCAGAAAGTCGGTACTTCACCCACAAATCAACACCACCAAATGACCGCTCTTGATATCATCAAAAAGTTGATTGTTGCTGTTGATGCTAACAAATTGGGAGTTGACAAGAAGCGTTTCAACATTGAGTACCTGAGTCCATACAAGGCTCAAGTACATGAGATGAACGTTCTTATCAAGAAACTCGGAGACAATCGAGTCAACGCAAGCACCTTCAAGACTGTTCAAGGTATTGGAAGAAATGTGGTCATTGTAGACTTCACGGGTTCAAATCGCTTGACTGATTTTGCAGATGACACGAGGGATACCTTGGTCGCTTTGTCCCGTCACAAGCACGCTCTTTTTGTGATTTGCAACAGCAAATCTACATTTCCTGATTCTTACGCCGACAATGCTAGAGAGGCAATTCAACTCAAGGGTGTCGGACGCAACATCTGCTCTCTTGCCGAGTTTGCACAAGGATTGAACGCACTCATCGAGATCCCAGCACCAGAAGTTGGAAATTGTTTCAAATGCAACGGTGTTGGACACAAGGCAAATGAATGTACAGTAAACACCACTTTCGTTTCCAAGTGCCGCAATTGTAAGTTTTCACTCACTACACGCTTTATATTCAATATTAATTCGTCTATTCAGGTAACGGAACTCATGATTACGATCACTGCCCGGGTGAATCTACTGGTCTAAACAACGTTGTCTGTAGGAGATGCCATCAAATTGGTCACAAGGCAGTCAAGTGCGAAGCCCCTTGGTGTCAGAAGTGCCGTGTTATCGGACATGACAAGGAAGGTTGTCCCCAAAAGTTATGTGTCAAGTGCAAGGCAACTGATCATTGGTTCGGTGAGAAATGCCCCTGCTATGTGGTCAGATACTGTGCTACATGTGGTAGTAAGGATCACACGGAGCGAAAATGTCGTCAAGACAAGACCAAAACCACTTTGTCAAAGCAGACAGGTCAATGATACTATCAAGGTCAGCATTGAGCTTGATGCACTCTACCATGATGCAGATCTTGAAGGTAGAGAGGAAGCTGTCGAATGTGCAGCTGTTGGTGAAGAAATAGATGACAGCGAAGCTAACGATAATACCCGAGCTAGCGAGGCCAATGGTAGAGGTTGGAGCAATGGAGATGACAATGGTGGCGAGCAATCCTGACACAGGCTCTGGATGGTAGAATCTGATCTCGGATGTTTCATCAAAGACAGTTTAGAATTTCAATTTGCTATGTTCCATAGAGAATCGAAGCACCAACTCTCACTCTAGATAGCTAGTTTAGCAGTTTCAATTGAAAAATTCATCTTTTATACTCTGCAAACCATATTTGATGACGTATCCGAGAATAAAACCCCAATTATACAATGGCATGTTTCTAATTTCTATCCAAGATAGAAGGACGAACGATGTGTAAGTATCGGATGATACACTCAGCCCTCCACAAGTACTGTAGGATGCTTAAGTGTTTACAGTTTCATTCCAGCCTAACATCTAGTTATTATCAATACTAAATATGTATATAACTTTCCCCTAGTGTAAAATAACCACATACTATCCATTAGCATTAGAAATGCAAATCCCTTCCCACCCCACCTCACCCCCACATTTACCTCTTCCTCTACCTCCCTCTCCCTCTCCCTCTCCCTCTCCCTCTCCCCTAAATCACCTCCTCAACTCCTCATACAATTGACCAACGATCCCCAAACCCGCAGCATCAACACCCCAGCACCAAGCTTTCCACCCCTCCACCCATCCCCCCAACTGCCAGTACCAAAGTCTCAATCGTCACCTAGGCATGCATACCTCAACATTCAATATTTAACATGAAATATAGCTAAACCATTGACACGGCAACGAATCCATCGCACTTATCATTCAAATCATATCTAATACAGTGCACAATAGTGATAGCTGTAAGAAAGCCCATTTGCTCTGCTCTGTTCATGAATTCCATTGTGGGGAAGAAGTACTTACTTCTTTTCCCAATATCAGGGTATTAGCAACAATAGAGGGAGCGCAAGCCTTTTCGGAGGTATAAAGAGCTATTATAAAAATGATGTATAGCTAGCTGCACGATTGAATGATGTAATATTGAGTTTTAAATTAGAAATTGCGGGAATGAGAAAAAAGTAATGTGAAATGCATTCGGGATGTTTGGCTACAGGAAATCCTTCAGCTTGTGTGTTGGAAGAAAGCATAGTTGGAATGAAGAATTTTGGTGCAAGATGACCCCAGGCATGGTTAGGTATTCGAGCTGGACATAAGAAATAACATCGTATGAGTGAAGTAAGTTTCACCGCATTCAGTAGACTACTACCGAGTCTAGACCCATGGATCTTGTGGCATTTGAGAAGTGGTACCCCAGAAAACATTCCGACTTAATTTATGATTGTTAATATGCTCCATTTATTGACGTCTAAAAGATATCAATCTGCTATTTTTTGACCTCTCCTCCAGTAAGCGAGTCAGTCGTTTTTCAGCTAGACAGCTTCCCGCCCTTCCACTTCCCACTCCCCAGTCTCCTGACCTCGGACCTTCTAGCTGCGCTTCGTCCTCCACCCTATCGTCATATTTTGCCAATATCTATCTGCCTCAATTTATACTTTTCTCCAATCAGTCATACATCTTCCCACACATCCTAGTCCCGCAACATCCACAACCTTCTCATGCCAACTGAGCAACACACTCATTGAAGACCCGCTACTTTCATTCTGTGCTCCTGGTCTTCCACCTCCAATTTGTGAGAAGCCACCGGTGCTTTGAGGTGTAAGTTTACTCGAGCTTGCATTTGCCTTGGATGCCATGCCCTTATATCTACCATCAAATCAAATCATTAGCACATTCTCCTAAAGAGTTTCAACTCCGCATCAATAGAAAATCAAGGATGACACGCACAAATATTTCATCAAACAATCTAATGCATCTCCACCCCCCTCACTAGCCATAACCCTTTTTAACAATGGCGTCATCTCGCTCGCCTTGATACTCTGCAACACTTCCATCACAGTACCCAAATGCACCTCCTTCACCGAATCACTACTTCCATACGGAGCATTTTCGAGCGCGCCCCGAAGAGCACCCTCTGCATCTCCTCCGCGAAGCAATTGGCGTACCTGCTGAGCTAGATTACGGATATCGGCATCGGAGACAGGGGGAAACTGGGCGGAGAGAGTGGAGATATCGAAGTTGGTGGAGGAATCGGGATCGAGAGCGTCGATGTTGATGGTGCGCCAGTTGTCGGAGAGAGTGGCGTTGGATACTTGCTGGATGATAGACATGGCGGAGGGATTGACGAAGGAGTATGCGAATGGGCTTGTGGTTGAAGTAGCGGGGTTGTGAGTTTGGAGTGAGTTGGCGGATTGAAGAGTTGTCGATTCCGCTAGTTGATGCTTTTGTAAGCTGTAGAGTGCAGATGAATTTCCTTTTATTAATTTCACTCTTCAGATTCGTGAGTCTTGAATCGTGGTTGAGTGATTCTTGTTGTAGTGAGTGTTGATTTCAATATACCATCAATGGATGGATGACAACGGTAAGCTCCTGAAGCCTCGCTGTAATTACATAACCTTCGCATCGCTGTTCTACGGTAACCTCTTGGACACACCATTTCCCATCTACGTTCAAATCTTCAAACCATAAACGCATTTCTACCCCCTTCATCCTTCTCTGCATATTCCAGAATCGTGTTCGTTCGTTTGTCCCTATCATCCCATCTACCTATTTATCCGCTGCAGATCTCATCACATTATTATTTAAACCCAGATCGTTATCGCACAGAGACGCATACCTACATGCTCCATACATATATATCACATCACACGTAAGATTTCTATCTGACTTATTATAATACCCAAGGCGGTACTTGCATTCCGTCCACTTCCAAGAGAAAGTAAAAATGTATATTTGGAATTTTACCAATATATTGATTGTAGGGGAGGGACATCTTTGCGAGGAGGGCATGATCGTATGATCGTATCTCGAAACCTTTGCTTTTGCATTTATTGTTTGTACTCACTTGCTTTTTTTCAAGGACAAACATTATATATCTCTTGATTCGGGAGAGCTGACTCGGATACGGGAAAGTTTGTTTGTCTGAGTTTCATGAACCCTTCCCGATGAAATGTGATGTATTACTTTTGGTTTAAGAGTAGTTCTAGACTTGTGTAGATCGATATGGGGAGATGAGAAAGAGTACTTGTTTTAGTGATCTTACTCTTCGCTCATTTGGTTACGTAGCTTCTGAGATCGATATCGAAGTTGGCACATGTCAATGTCATTAAGCAGAATTGGGAGAGGACAGTCAATGTCATTAAGCAGAATTGGGAGAGGACAGTCAATGTCATTAAGCAGAACTGGGAGAGGACAAACTCCAAGTATTAAAGTGGTGATTGTGATTACTAAAGTTTAATTATAAAGGACCCTAAAGCCAAAGTGTGCTCGATTGCTCTTCTGAACTTCTTGCGGAGATATCTCTTGTACAGTTCTAGGTTGGGTATATGGGTTCCACCTCCACATCCCTCGCTCGTCGATCAGGAACCAGTCCGTGAAAGCAGGATGGAGAGAGCGGAGACCAATCTATCTCTCATGACAAACAAAACAAGTCGCTGCGCAGGTACAAGCAATAGAAGTGCAAAAGCTTTGAAAGAATAGTATAGAATACAAGATAATAGTGTAAGTCTTTCTTCCAAGATACAAAGCATACAAGTCCCACCAGTTCATCAAAATTCCAAAATATTCCCATCGTGTACAAAATTCCCACGAGGCGTGCCCAATCCGCGAGGAAGATAGCAACAGACCCTTTCTTTCCAAAAACAAGTGTAACGCACCAAACGACCCAAGGAAATGGAAATAGTACAACCAGCAAGTCTATATGCAAACCCTCGCAGAAATACCAAAGACAAAACACACAGGAGTGCTCCTAACCAACCAAACATTTTTAATATCCCGAGCGATTCCCAATTTTTTGTCCGAACCATTTGAAAAAGAATAAAAATACAGTGCAAGTCTAAAAACACCAAAAATCCAAAGAAACTGCCGCAGCGAAAAAAGGGAAATGTAAATGTGTTGAATGAACAACGAGCCCAAGTCTAGATGCAACGCCTTCCCTTTCTCCCAAAAATTTGTGTATCTGCATGTAATTCCGGAAAACTCGCAAGAAATCAGACCCCGAAGAAAAGACTTTTTGATGGGCAGTGTGTACTGTGGATCGAGACCGCCATCCTTTCTTCCGAGTGAACTTTTGAATGTAAGGAGTGCGATTGAGGTGTCTCAGAGTCGGATAAGATTATCGAAGTTGTCTGGAATGTAGATAAAATCGTGTGGAGAATGGATTGGGAGGGGTCAAAGTCGCACGCAGCGCGAAAAAGGAAATTCGTCGCGAATCGTAGGCAAAATTATTATACAGAAGGGTATTGTTGACCAATATTAAAAGCATGATTTTGTCGAATAGTGTATGTTGAGAATGTTAATCAGAGTAAGAGATGGATGTGTGAGAGCTGTGTCGGGAATCGTGAGGTTCGAGATAGACGAAGCTGGAATCTGGGGAAGGGTAAAGGGTAAGGAGTTGGTGTGGAGATATCCTCTACCGGACCTAGATCCTGCGTCTCCATGAGGTCCTCTGATGGTCGTGAGCCATTTCGTGGACAATCGTGAAAGGGATGAGGTTCATCAAGGCCACTTATTTGGGCTTTGGTGGAGGAGGGTTTGGTGAAGGTAGACCAGTGGTATCATATGCGCCGCGACCCATGTTGGAAGATGCGTTGATCCTGGTAATCATTATGATGGTGTGTGTGGTTGAAGAAAGTCTACTAGCAAAAACATTCTAAATCAGTATGATGGTTCATTGATATTTATATACGTGTGTGTATATATATATATATATATATATAAATATAAAAGCGACGGAAGAAAATAAGATTGCCAACTCAAAAGCATGTTAAGAGAGGGCCGCCATCGCGTAGTAAGAAATAAAGTATATTTTGATAAATATAGTTTTTTGGAAGTATGAGAATGAACATGGATTATATCTGACTCACGTTGCTTTTTTTGGCTTGCGTTAACAAGGCTGTCTGTCTCCTTTAGAAGAAAAGGAGGTTAACTGGTGGACGCTTCCGTTGATGGTGTGAAGAGCTTCTTGGGTAAGCTATAAGCTACAAAGCTATTTC